CTCTCTCTCTCTCTCTCTCTCTCTCTCTCTCTCTCTCTCTCTCTCTCTCTGTAAACTGCCATTCTGTGCTGTCCTTACTAACTAGTTTCTTATTGAACTTAAGCAATTACTTTTGGAATGTGGATGTGAAAATAATTCATAATGCATTGGGTTAGCTAACTTCTAATTCAATGTTGATGTTAATAACTAAATTAATTGCGCTTGGACTTTATTTTCTATCTTTTATTTTATTTATTAGTGAGCACTTTGGTCTATGACAACAATATTTTGCTTACTGGTAAATACTGGGCACCTGGCTTACCACGCAACTAACAAAAAACCACCTTTTCCCACTCCATTATGTTTCTTTGGCCATTCCTCACCTTTAATTTTAGAGTTAAAGGTTGAAGAAATTCCTATTTATCTTTTTCCTGATTCATTTATCTAAGGTTTTTCTTGAGATATCATTGCTTTCAAACTGATTTGAACCTATCCGCCTTCTTTTTTACGACAATTTTTACGACAATGAGGGAGTAGTATAGATCGGTTCTACAGGAATATTGAGCATGTGGAGTTAGATACACTTTTGTTGAGATCAACTTCCATATTTTTTTTTACATAGAAGAGCAGTCCCCAGAATTTCAACTTGCATTTGAATATTTGCATCTAAATTAAGTTGCAGTGCTCTGCAGATCTCTTGGCAATGGCTTCCCTTTACATCCTCAGCACGAACCGATAATTTGAAACTTTATCATTGGGTACTTTCCTCTCCCTTTCCCCTGTTATTATACATATATTTTGTCATTCATAAGATACATGAATTAGAGATTGACATTTCTTGTGGTCATGTCAATGACTAATAATAGCCAGATATGAAGTTGTTTCTCTCATTTTCTAGGTCAAAATTGTTAATGGTGTTCCTCCAACAGGGGATTACTCTTTTGCCAAGTACAACAAGGTATGGTGAAAGTGTAATATTTGATCTAACTTTTAGCTTTGTTTGCATATTGTATGTGTTTGAAGTGTATTCTGTTTTGAGTATCGTAGCAACTGGCTCTTTGCCATCCTACTTAAAATTGTAATGCTTTGTCTAATTGGAATTGGTTGCAGTCCGTTGACATTGTCAGATACACAGATGAGGAATATGAGAAGTATTTGACTGATCCTGTAAGTGCTATTTGGACTTTTTTGTTTGCTTAGCACTACGAATCAGTATGATTGGAAAGTTCTGTGGAAATTTTGATTTTCTTCTCATGTTGATTCTTCTCATGGTTTTTCCTTCATGAGAATGTGAATTCCAAAACATATTTCAATATTATTATTTTGAATCGGTGTTTTTATGTTTCTGTTTGTTAGAGGCATGTTAGCATGCGTTGCTTTTTGGGCTCAGAATATATCATGGGATTAATATATTAGTCTTGACCTCAAACTATTAGCTGAAAACCTGAAACCTTACATGGGATATATGGTGTACAAAGAGATAAAATGAAGGAAAATTGTTCCATGTGGCAGGGACCGCATTTCTACGTTTGCGGTCCCTGAGGTATAAAGCATCCAACTTAAAGATGGATGCAAATAGGTGGTCCATCTAAAAATAATTAAAATTAACGGTCCAAATGTTTCTTAATAGAATTATTATTTTTAATTTTCAAAATTTATTTATTTTTTCATATTCATGATCTCCATGTTAGAGGTTACATGTCCTTGAAAAATTTGGTAAAAAAATCCTTCTCAAAAATAGATTTTTAAGAGGTGACTCATTTCTACATGGACTCATAGAAACTGTGTCCTAAAATGAATAGTTTGTATATACTTGTGAACTTTTTAAATTCATGTTGAGTATTTTTTTTGGGGTTAAATCTAGAAGCTGACTACATCCATACTCTCATGAAAAACATACCGATGTAGGCATGCTCAACTAAACTCATTTAAATATATTCCATGATTGTTGTTATACAAATAAATCTATGAAGATATGTATGCTATCTTTTGTTTTCTGTAGCTTTGAACTTTGGAGAAAAGGTTTGTCGAGTATGCAATGGGTGTAGGTGGTATGCTTATTGTTCCTTTGTGTATTGAACAACTATTTTACATGTTTCTTTACAGAATTGGACCAAAGAAGAGACAGACCAATTGTTTGACTTGTGCGAGCAGTTTGACCTCCGTTTCATAGTGATAGCCGATAGGTTTCCAACATCACGAAGCACTGAGGAACTGAAGAGTCGTTACTATGCAGGCATGGAAATTAGTTTATCCTTTATCTTTGGGATTATACGGTTTGGGAATAGTTCCTTTAACATTTGTTTGGAATTTGAGATTGGCTGAATTTATACAAACTTCTCTGCCATATCTTAATACTTGTATGTCTTGGGGATTTTTACTTTCTGTTCCTGGCATCAGAAATCTTCACTCATCTGAGATTTAAGGGAAACTAATGATCTTTTCGGTAGTCTTGCCAAAATTTTGCATCATTTCTATTGATTCCCATGGGCTTTCTTCATGTGTAAATGAATATTGTAAAGATTTGGGCCATACAAACATTGTTGTGTAAATCTTCACTTTGATAATTGGCCATTTAACTATTTAATCAAGTTTTACATTAAGAGTACATCAAATAAAGGTTTCTTGAGTAAAGATGAATGCGAGAGAGGAGGGAGAGAGGTAGTGGAAAAACAGCTAAAACAAAATAAAGATGCAAAAGGTTACCCTTTTTGGGTTTTCATGGAATTGGTTGTATCATGTGATTTGAATTACTCATATTACATTGACGGGACCTGCTGCTATGGTTTTTCGGAACTATGAATGGGCATTTATATAATCTGAGTTTGTACTTTCCATCATGAGTTGAAAATTTCGCTGAAAGTATTTCAAATATGTGGGTATTCCTCAGTTTTGATAGCAAATTGACCCTTATATATTCCACCTTGGCCAAAACTGGCTGAAAGTATTTCGAAGAAAAAATTTCTATTTTTTTTTTTGGCTTTTTGTTTCTTGTTATGCTAATTTTTAAGTTGTCTTCATCATGAATGTAGGTTAACAAATAAGTTTTCCAAAACTGGGATTTTGTTTCTTACTTTCTTATGTGGCTGCTAACAGTGTCTCGCGCACTTGTCATTGCCAAAGCTCCACCATCTGGTGATGTGTCTGGTCATCCCCTGGTCAAGGTAGGAAGTTGGGTTTTGGCTTTAGAGAGTCCTCTATAATTCCACTCATTTTCTTGGTATACTTTCCAAAATAAAAATCCACTCAACTTTAATTTGAACTTATTTTGTCATGGGAAGCTGTACTTCCATGGACTAGGAAAGCTACAATCCGTACGGGTCTTAACTGTTCAGTGAAATGGTTGGAGATGGAGATTGGGAGGCATGAAACAGTACATGACCTCAAGGGCGGGCCCCACTCTCTCTCCATTACATCATTATTGTTAGAATGTGGTGACCCTAATGAAGTATGGTTTTCCATTGTCCATTGGGTTGCAGTATGCTTCTTTTATTATAAAACTGGAACCTCTTCTTCTTCTTTTTTTAATCTATTAGGCCTATCCTCTCCCAAATCTTGGTCTTGGAGATAAAACTCTTGGTATTCTGATCCTCTATTTCCATGTTCATGCAGGATCCTTACAACATCACGCATGAGGTCGAACGAAAGCGTCAACTATCTACAGTTCTCTCTAATCCAAAGCAGCCGGAGCGCAAGGATGCAGAGGTAACCTCCCTTCGAGTCTTCAAAACTTGTGTTTCTGGACTGCAGATTATCTTATCACTGGATGAACATGCCATGCCCTTAAAGAAATGTATGATATAACCCAGCAGAATCTGGATAACGATAGTCCATTGGGTCATCACCATCTGATGTGGTGATGGATGGAGACTGGGACTCACCAGAACATGGTGCCCACGTGTGGGTCCCACTCTGTCCATCTTCATCAATCATTTGATTGGACAGTGATGACACCAGTGGACTAAGGTTTTTTACAGTCCAATGAATTATAGTATACCTTCTCTTCTTTGAAAACCTGAACCTCTTTCTTCTTTAGTATTTCTTGGTCTTTACTGTCTTTTCTTGTGTCAGGTTTTGGCTGAAGCGAAGCGGGTAGCAGACTTACGCATAAGTGGAAAGGTGAGCTATATGAATTTTCGATGCTCACAAGCATAATGATTTTTCCACTTCTTATCCTTCAATTTGTTGTCAGAACTACTCATCCAAGAAAGTGGATTTTTCTATTGAAGACTACTAGCTTTACTAAATATCATCGCCTTCTAATTCTTAAATTGTCTCAAGAGATTTCCGTGAGAAATGTGATTACTGATGATCTTGGGGGTGTTTCTGTAGGATGCAGAAGAACCTGAGCTGCCTGCAAACACTGAATCTGTTGCCCCAGATGCAGTGGCAGTTGACTGTGTATCGCCATCTCCAATACCTCAGCCCCCAGCTTCAACAGCAGATAGTGCCTCTACACCAGCTTCACTTCGCATGGTAAGGATATTGATTTCAAAACATCTGCCTTTCTTCCTTGAGATTTGTTGAAATAGATGGAATGCACATCATTTGGCTTGTTATTTCTTTTGACATTTGATTATTTTGAAAATATCAGTTCATGGTCAGTTTGTCAAATCTTACAATGGGTAATGTCAAATCTTGGGGACACTAGTACATTCCTTCTCTGTTTTAAGTACTTGGGATGCTTATAGATTCTTAACTGAATGTACTAGTTATAGAAATGAGTAATGAAGTTTACTCTAGCCTTTATGTCTTTAACTGATCTCCTTTTCAATCTGTTTATCAAATTATGTATATGAACCTGTTCAGCAACTGAAATCTCTCAAACTTATTGTTTCCTGCTTGAGTATGAATGATGTCTTTTTTGCCTTTCTATATTGTTGTAGACAGCTAAAATATTTTTTTATTAGTACAGCTAGAACATTATTACCTGTGGAAATATTCCATATACATAAAGTATGCCATACAATAGTTCTGATAATGGCCAATCGCTTGTAATGATGGTTCATGTCCACCATCCATCTTGAGAATGGATGGTGGATGCCCCTCTTTGTTGTGGTAGAATATTTGTTTTCACTGGGCTTACTTACCTGATAATTGTTTCAGCTCCGAGTATATTTAAGAACCACTCTTCTTGAGCAAATGGTGCAAGCAGCAAGCTCATCTGCTGGATTGCGAACGATCAAGCGGGTTGATCAAACTCTTCAAGAGCTTGGAGTATGCTACTACATTCTGCATATCCATAACCAAATATTTTCATTGTTTTACGGTTCTCGCATAGCTTTTGATATCTTTGATGCAAAATGATTGGAAAACAAATATAGCTTCCCATAATACAGGCACATCTTGGCTATCTATTCCATAGATGGTCTAATCAAGCAGATTGGGTCCCACCCTTTGCTTTAATGAGGGCTCTCTGCATGTATTGCATGATTGCATTGCTCTACAGAATGAACGGTCTATGGAATGGCTTACGTGAAGTTACATAAGCCTGGCCTTCATATTAATTCCCCATCTTTGATTTTATCAAATTAGCATAGTGAAAAGAAGATCTTGTCAAATTAGGCAAACATATTGGTAGTCTACATGATTTGCCTAATTCACCTGTAAAATCTAATAGCAGATTTTAGATGTGTAAATTCTGGTGTGAATTATCTTCAATGTGCCACTTACTCTTGACTGGTGTTTACTTTCTTTCCATTTGCAGGTTTTGAAACCTAAAGTCCCAACAAAAGCAGTGTGTGCAGAGCATATAGAACTTCGAAAAGAAATTCTAACACTACTAAACCTTCAGAAGCAGGTTTGACTTCTTTGGAGATTTTTTAGACAAAAGTTTGAAGGATGCCTAGTTTGTTTGTTGCTCTATAGGATACTTGCTTTATGACAGGTGCAATATAAGGAGGCAGAAGTATCAACTTTTCGTGACAACCCATATTCTGATACAATTCCCACGCCAAGTCCTCCTAAGGTACTCAAAACTATAGGCCTCATTTCTTCTCTCTTTAAAATTATAAGCAATTAGATCCAGCATTCAGATTCTAATTATCTAAAGATGTGTTCATGTCAAGAACTGCTTCCTAATCTGGTTTTACTTGTGAATTGGATACATGGGTTAGATTTCTTGTGAAAAGCAAATTAGACCCTCTATTTGATTTATTAGACGAATTATTTGACAGTGATGAAATCTCCTTCTTCAAGTCTTTTGTCCTTTTCTGAGGACAATTATATTTTTGACTGATATGCTTAAAACATTGTATTAACAGCGTTCCCATCGTGGAGGAGATCAAGATCGGCTATTTATACGGGATTCTGATGGCTTCAGTGGTAAAATGTCTTTTATATCCTATTCATGTGCACAAAATATTGAACCAGTCTGCAGTTAGTTGTAATCTATCTTTCGCATTAAGTTTATTGAATATTTATTTTGGTCTCTATTATGTCACAGGTGAAAGAGTTGGCAAGCGAGAGCATAAGCGCAAGGTGCTTGTCTACATTCTTCATTTCATTGATGTTGTGTACCTTGACTTTTCCTCTCTCTCTCTCTCTCTCTGTCTCTCTCTGTTATATGATCATTTGTTTATACTGTCTGTTCTTACTAAAAGGCTCCTGGAAGATATCCCGAAGCTCCTCCATCACCCCCTCATTCTAAGAGGGCCAGAAAGATGAAGGCCTCTGATGGGTAGAACATGAGGTACAACTTTTTCCTTCCCCTAATTAGTTGTGGATTAAGACAAAAAAAGAGTGTTTGCTTCATTCAGTAGTATCTGATTTTCTGTAAGTTTATTATTCTGAACGTAATGTTCTCTCCTTTTTCTTGGTTACACGTGACATATGGGTCGGCTCGACTTAAACAAAAGTGGGCATTTGGTAATGAATATGTACTTTTGGAATGTATATACTCATTACAAATTTTCATTATCTATCTCGGAACCAACAAGTTCACCTAATAAATGTTCTTGCTCCTTAAAATTTGAGCATGCCATAATAAATAGCCAGATCACATCTGACAAATACTACATCATTTTGGGGCTCTTGAAGTTGGATAAATCAGTCATCATATGTTTGCGAGCTCGTGAGATCAACTTTATGACAATTTGCTTTTCTTTTTCTGATTGGCAACTTTATTAAAGCTTTTAGCATCACGTCAAATGACTTGGTGCTGTTGCATTAAATTAATCGTTTCTGACCTCACAAACATCATAATATTTTAAAAGTAAGCCAATATTAATAAAAAACATGCCTTTCAGGGCCGGCTAAAGAAGGTGCAGCAAGATGAGCAATTTTCAACGACTTTGCCTCATCTAATGAAGGTTATGCATCATGGGGGCTGCTCGAATGAAATAACTGTTATTGACCCATCTCTATGTGCTGCCAGAGATGATGCGATGCCGAATCTGTATGGGAGGAATTGCTATTCAGTTTGTATTGTTGCTTTTTGGTGCCCTTTATAGTCCTTTGAGGACTATGCATATCTGAATATGCAGAGTTGTGATTCCTTCATCTGAATGATGAATCAAATGTGTAAATGATGCTGTTTATATGGAAAAGCCCCAAGATTTTGATGTTCTGAAAACCTAGATCACAAGGTGTACATGAAAAAAATAATTAAAAAAAGGTAGATCATGAAAATGATTGGCATATCTTTGTTGCCTTCAGATGGGAGTTCTTTTTTTTCCAAGTAGAAACTTGGAAATTTTTTCTATAAAACCCTTGTAAATTTTACATCTTCACAATTAATGTTCATAGGAATAAACAAAATTTTGAAGCCTGTCGACCACTAAAGTTTAGCGGCAGCGTCCATCATAGCCAAATAGTGAGCTTCCATGTTGCTGTATCTGTAGCTTTAATTGGACGGGGTGACTTCGATTAGTGCAATCCTGCCCCGAAAAGATAAGTAACTAAGCATGCATGGGTCTGATTTATTTTGCAATCTCACTGTCGCAAGATACTAGATCAATTTTGGCGGTCGACCTCCGATCAATGGGAGAACTGGGTATTACACCCACAGCCTACTACTTGATCCATCCATTCCAATTCCTAAAGTCCCAAATCCTGTTCCTTAAACTTTGTTCCGTTGGGGCATTTCTAAAGGAAAGAGTTTATATAAGATTGCAACCTTAAATTGTAGAATGAAAGATGCACCTAAAAATTTTATGGGAAAGAGATATTTTAATGTTGAAAAACCATCTAATTGATCATTTCAATATATATATAAAGATTTTGAGTGCCATAAATAATGCATCTTGCAACACATTATCTAGACCATTCATTTTTAAGATTTTCATATGTTTATGTATGGATCTATTTGATTTTAACTATTTTTGGAGTTTAAAATTTTATAATTAGATATGAAAGTAGTTTTTCAAATAATCCTAAAAACTTTTTATACCAAAATTATATATTACAATAAAATTTGGAGGTGCGCCTTAATTGGATTGTTTAAGGCTGCAACCTTATGGAAACTATACCCGTTTGTAAACGAAGAAAAGCTATATTAAAAATAAAAAAAGAAGTCTTAACAAGGGACACTATTGAACATTCAATCGGAGTATTGGTGTCACTCATATCCAGTCAGAAGACCTTCAAACACGTGTCTAAAATATATTGATGTGGGCTCACTCACTGCCAAAGTGCCGGACGCTATGCAATCACTGCTGGACCCCTAACAATCTAGAGATAAAGTATCGGACTGGCCCTATTTTTTGCCGGCATGCTTTTCAGAAGTCCAAACTGCCGGACCGCTTTTATTTTGTGCCGAACCGCATGTTTTTCAAGAGCCCAAAATGTTAGACCGTTCCCAAATTACATGCTCTCCAGAAGCCTAAAGTGTTGGACTGCCCCTATTTTGTGCCGGACCCACGCTTTTCATAACCCAAAGTGCTAAACCGCCTCTATTTTATACCGGGCTGCATGCTTTCTAGAAGCCCAAAGTGCCGTACTACCCCTATTTTGTATCGGATCTACGCTCTCCAAAAGCCCAAAATGCCCAGCCTGATCCAAGCTTTCAACAGCTCAAAGTACCGGATTGCCTTTATTTTGTACCAGGCCAAAGTACCGGATTGCCTTTATTTTGTACCAGGCCGCGTGCTTTCCTCCTCAATGTTTGACTGTACAGATATAACATTTTCATAAAAACAAAAAAACGAATTTTTTTGCTAAAAAAGTTAAATTGTAGTAAAAATTACTAATAAAAAAAAAAAAACTGAGTTGAATGAAGTAGTCAAGAATAAAGTCAATTTTGATAGGATTTTGTAATTTTCCTTAAAATAAAGTCAATTTTGAAATGCCCATTCTTCATAAAATATGTTTTATTTTCAATATGGAAAAAATTGAAACCCATTTTCATTTTTTAAACAAGGACAATTGTCCCTGTTTACGTGAGTCAATTTTGAAACACCCCATTTACATACATTTTTTTTTCAAAATAAAAATAATTTAGAATAGAAAACAAATATATTTTATGTTGAATTAATAATCAACGTAATACTTTTTCACCTTTTTCCATGTTATTACGCAACCTTCTATTGGACTAAATTTTTTTTTCCATGAATAAAATTCAAATTTATTTTAATTTATCAATTTAATTTAATACTGTTTTTTGTGATGCTTTTCTATGATATAAGAAATATAGTTATATTAAAATGCAGATATGAATTGCACATATTTTTCAATATATGAATATATATACACCCATATATAATATAGAGGTGTCGTGTCTAGGTGACATCTTTTAAGGTTCATGTTTCTAACACGTCCATTACAAATAGATACACATATGTCCGTTTCTCCGTAACATAGCATTTTGCAACTTTCAGTTGAATTTAATGTTTCTCTCTCTCTAACAGGAGAGAATAAAACCACTCTCTGACCTGGAAAGCCGATAATCTCTCTCTGTCTCTGTTCCAACGAATCCCTTGTGAAAAATTCGAAACCATCTAGAAACTATTATAACATACATTCTACACAACAAAATTGAACTCAAATGTACAAAACGAAAAGCCTGCAAGAGAATTCAAACAAATGCCTCAACTTGGCATAAGCATTATATAGCTTCTTTAATTTTTCATTTCTTGAGTGAGTGGAGTTGTAAGTCAACTATTTTTGAAATTTGGATACCATAATCTAGGCTTCAAGTCTACTAAAGTCTCTCTCTCTCTCTCCAAAGAGGCAGCACCTCGGTTGATCGGTCTGTGGCATGCTCTGAACTTCAATGGTCTACTGGTTTCCTATTTGCTTCTGTGAAGAATGAATCTCATTCTCGCAAATAATATGTTTCTGCAGTTTTGAACGTCGCTCATTGTATGATGCTGGAGCAAATGATGCAATCAAATTAGAACAAAATAATTTTGCTGGAAAAAAAAAAAAACATACTTGTGTTTCCATACATGTCCAAGAATGTGAAACAGAAGTAAAAGACAGATTCATTCAAATTATTAGGAATCATAGATAGCAATCATCGTAATTTATTCTCAAAGTGTGCATTAAGAAACAATTCCTCACAATCAATAATATGTGGTATCAATATTCAGATGTTCCAGGTACAATAAGGTCACACAATTACATAGAAAGTTTATAATAATTTCAAACCTTAATCTCTTGCAACTTAAAACCCTTGCTAAAAACTGTTTAACAGTGCCTGAATCCCTGAAAAGTTCACTGCAGCAATCCTAATGTAAGAGCAAAGACCAATTCTAGAGATGAAATGCAGGATACTGAAGCCGTATTCCTACGATCGGGTGTTTCTCAATATATATCTTGCCAAGCACTATACTTCCTGCAAAAGTCATCTTAACATGCAGGAGTGCTTAATTAAGATCAGTGCAGTTCAACCACAACATCTGTCCCTAGCACTTGATAAGTAGTAGTTTCGACTACAAAGATAACACTATCTGAAGGCCATGATAGCCATGATGACATGCTTGAAATAAGTGTAATTTGCTTCAACCCATCGATTTCAAGTACAAAGACATTCTCATATTTAATTCCCAGAGTTGCTAACATGTGTGCTTTTAAAATGCATGCACCAGGGGATAGTTAGGCTATTGAATTAGATGATTCTACAAAGTTTATCTGTTGCTAAATTCTTGGAAGAAAACACCCATACTGATGGCAAGAATAAATTTCAGGATTTTTAAATGCAAACTAGAAGTTTTGTGAGTTTTTCAAATTCAAGCTGGCTTGGTCATAGTCCTAGAGTGAGGTTCCATATAATGAGAGTACGGTCACGTTCTCACTTCTGAGGACCACCTTGATAATTGGTTTATCATTTGCCCTGAATAACGAAAGTAGAATGAGGTTCCTCACACAAAAAATTTTGTCTGTTGTAGAAGGAAATATTGTCAGGATTTTGAACAAGCCCTTAATATAACATAGAATCATGCTTTTATATGCCATACACTCAAGTAGGAAATCAGCATTAATCAACAAATGCCGCGTACCTTCTCAATCCAATTTTTTCAATAGAAGGAAATACTGTCAGGATTTTGAGCAAGCACTTAATATAACATAAAATAATGTTCTTATATGCTATACACTTGAGTAGGAAATCAGTATTAATGAACAAATGACGCTTACCTTCTCAATCCAATTTTTTTCCTTGAATTAAAACTAACTCTTGCAAAAATTTGGCAAATACTGAATTTCTATTAAAATAATTTGAAACAAAGAAACAATGAAACAAATAACACAGAATTTGAGTATATCATCATAAAGAGAGCAAGTGTTTATGTGGCATGGGCTTGTCAACTTCTATTCAGAGTGAAGCAGCAAAGAAATGAATATATGTAAAGAAAAAAAAAAAAAGAAGGATTGGAAATAAACTTGTCAACTTCTAATTCATTTGAGGCACCCACGTTCTGTTGGACGGGAATTGAGAGGAACATGACCCCTTTTAGTTTTCCATTGAAATATTGGACCATCTGCAAGTGAAAAGTTGTTAAAAATGAACTTCATTCATCGAAACAAACAAAATCTTCCTGCTGCATAATGACATTGACCTTGCACAGGCACACAGCTCAGCGCTTCCTGAAAGATAACTGCTTGCAGCATATGACGTCGGGCTTCACTCTTCAAGTGCTCATGTAAAGCTTGGCTGGCATCTGAAGGCAACATATCTAACTCAGCTTATATAATAGGGCAAGTAAACTTTCACCAAAGATTCAGCAACTTTTCTTGTTATCGGCTGTAAATGTACTACCTAATAAATATAGGGGAAATTTTATATATGTCCCTTTCCATATATATTTTATATATGTCTCCTCTCTAAACCATTTGATCTAGGCAGATGGTTGAGATTGTTTTTTTCTTAAATGTCACAAAATAAGTTAAAAACTAGGGAGACTGGCTAAGCCGGTACCCATCTAAATCAAATCCCGATAAAAACTCCACCCCAAAACCCACACGTCTACCTCTCTCTCTGGTTTTCTTGGTTCTAGTTTCTCTCTAGCCGAATCACTCCTCCCTCTGTCCCTCAAAGCTCTTAAAAGAAACCAAAAAATCTAATACCTCTTTCTCTCAATATCCACCACTTTTTTTGAGAGTTAAAGATACAAGTAAGAGTGAGAGGGAGCAAGGAAGAGGCTTTGGGCTTTGAGCAGGAAAGTGATTTTCTCCTGCAAATGAAAGTGGGAACAGAACGCATCTTTGTCCGTGGCACTCAGAATCAGTTTATTCGTGGCACTCACAGACTCACGGTAGTGTTCGGAGAGAGTGAACGAAGGGAATCTGAGAAGTAATTGCAGTAGAGGTATGGAACTTAAGAGAGAGTGAACGTTTTCTTGCATCGCTTGCAGACCCTCTCCTGGTTTAGGGACCCTCTCTCTCCACCTTTCAGGCCATCCATGGCCTCTCTCTCTCTCTCTCTCTCTCTCTCTCTCTCACTCACTCAAAGGCAAACAGCAAAGGGATTCTGAGAACGAATTGGGCAAGAGACATGGAACTTTAGAGAGGGAAGCAATGGTTGATTTTAGAGAGAAAAACCATAGCAGGATTGGTGGTTTAGGTTCCCATTAAGATGGGTTATTGGGTAAGAGAGAGATTGAGAGATGATTTTTTAGAGGGACACAATGGAGCAAAACAAATAGTGGCCTTTTGGGGGAACATGGATGGCAGGGCACAAACGATTTTGATTTTCGATGAGATGGGTCACCGGTCGAGAGACTGGTAGCCTGCTTCTTTGTACCTTCTGTGATATTTGTTGGGAACTGCTCCCAGCAGTCCATTTAAATCGGATGGTTGTGAGATGGAGGATATAGATGAAAGATATAAGGGTGGCAGCATATGATATTTTCCCCATAAATATTATATATGATTTAATAACATATCACTGATCATAGGTTGTTACATACGATGAGCTTTAGACAAACAAGGAACTTGGAGTGAGATGAATTTGGGTTCAAGAACCAATACAACAGGGCTACCGACAAAAAAATAAATACCAAATGCAATATGACATCATCATTTAGCACCAATCCATGGAATAAAATCAAGAAAATACAAACTTAATGGTAGAATGGTAAGCCCAAACATGCCAAAGTAAAATGGAAACTACTCTTAAATGTACATTATGTATTGCATTCTGCAAATGAACTTGATTATTTGTAATAATGATATAAAAATGGAATGTCATGCCCTCCTCGATTATCTGTAATAATGACATAAAAATGCAATGTTATGCCCTCGTAGATTCATTCATGTCATTTTTTTTGTTCTTTGGATAGAGGACCTTCCATGCTGTTGAGCACCGATTCAAAAAAGGAAAAGTATATTATGAAACCATTTACTTTTGGTACAAGGTCACAACAATTATTGAACATTAGATGTGAAATCGGGTAGTTGGGGGTGTGATATTGACTATGTACAAACTCCAAAATAAAATTTCTTCAATATTGTGACACATTTCAAACTGTTAGATTTCACATGTATAGCCAAGAGTGATTATGACCTCCTTGTATCTAAAGGAAATGGTCTCATATTATATACTCCCTTAAAAAAAAATGGTTCAATAATTAAGCATAAGGAGCTCCTCATTCATCACTAAAATACCTGATGAACACATAAAATCAACAGCTTCAAATTCACACGACCGAAGAACCAATGGAAGTTCTGGAGCCATTGTGTATTGTGGTTTTCGAGTAGTCTTGGTTGTGTCAAGTAATGCATCTATGACCTACACCACAGCAGAAGAAGCATTAGAATGACATTCATCTTCTTGTTTTTGTGTGCAGTAGCAAAGACATTAAGATGCTTTACAAGCATCTAGTATTCAAAAGAAAGAACAGAGTATCCAAGAGGTCTTTCCTCATTACGATCCCTAATCCACTTAAAAACTGAATTTAGAAACAACAGTGGGACCCAATGGAGTAACCTCTCAAAACCAATTGTTGCATACGCACATCAGGGGACTCGAGGCCTTGGCCAACCATAAATAGCACTGCAACCACGCAACGAACCTGGTGCCATAGAAAAGCACTACCTTTGATTCTCATTGCTAGCAATTCATTACCAGCAACCCTGCAGAGCAAATCAATGAAATACAAATTAAATGAACGGGAAGAGCTTCTAAATGGCGATCACTAAAACCCTACAACATAATTACATAAAAGGTACTTGTCACTCACCTGAAGTTTTTGAAAGAAAAACATTGGTAACCACAACTAACAAATGTGTAACTTGACATGGACAGATTGGCAAGAAACAAAGATTACAATAGTGGAGAAAGATATTTGTTAATTCTGTGCCTTAATGGGCTCAAGCAAATTTAACCAATCAATTAGATACTGAGACCCACGAACATTGAACATCTGAACTTACGATAAATTAATGATCACCAGATATTATTGGTAAAGAGAAAGAGAACCTAAGCAGCCCATTGAGGAGAATTAAATGCAAATGCCCATTCACAAAAGCAAGAGATCACCGTGCCATAGTTGGATATAAGATCAAGACCTTTCAGGGTTGGGTTCAAGGTGCCTTTTGTCATATTCGAGTTGGGATTCAGTAAGTATAGGCAAACTAGATTATTCTGGAGACTATTCAATTTCTATTTCCAAGGAACGATGACTGCACTTTGTTGCCTTTAGCTAGGAAGCGAAGATAATTCTGAACAAGGTATCAAGAAAAAAAAAACCATCCTGGATACTGACATCCCAACCTTTGACTGCAAGGAACAATTTCGAACTCTGTAATCTGTCGCCGATAGTTGTGAACATTTAATGCGTCCATCTTACAAAAATTCCTGAAGTCATGTTCCCCAATAAATTTATTGCAAGCCTTCCCCATCGCCTGATGCATAAAGAGACGTTAAAAACGTAATTACTAAAGTATCCTTTGGCTACCAATTGCATAACATCCACTCAAAATCCATGCTTTGAAAAGAAGGATATGCAAGAGATCTAATAAGCATACACTTATATCTAAAGAGTTGCTCCAGAACAGGTACATGTATTCCCTGCTCAGACAGCTGAACCTGAAACATAAAAAAAACATGGCGTCATCCTTCTGTCTCAGAAATTCATCAGCAATTTACAGCATAGAAATCAGACATATTCTACATCAAGTTGTCAACAGCACACATGGCCGCTCATAAATGCAGGATGCCATTAAACCAGTGCATTTCTTTGAACGTGATAGGTCTCTTATATTTTCTAAATATTCTATTGGACAGATGAAAGGCAGATTTACAACAGACTGCAAGGCACAAATGTGCTGCATTTCCAGGTTGCCCATTGGTGAAGTTCCACACCCCCTTTCACCTCCCCACAACCCCCAACCCCCCCACCCCCCCTCCCCCCCCCTTCAGGCCTTTTTCTCCCCTTGCTCAATTAATACAACAAAATAATCATGTAAAAACGAAAAAATACAAATGATGATTCTTTTCAACATCAAAGTTATTACTTATACAAGCCTACTAGAGCTCAAACCATCAGTGGAGGAATGAAAGCAAAATTTGCAAAACCTTGCACTGAAATTACTAGGAATGGGACACCAGCCTAAAACACGAATATCATCAGGAAGCACCTTGTTCAGCACCTTCACATAATCTATTTCCTTCTCATCTGGATCACAAAGCAATTAAGTTAGTGGACAACTTAGGCAGTAACAAGAAAACATAATGATTTACCAGCAGAAAATGTTATCAAAGTCTACCTTGACCCTACTCTGTCATTGGTTTAGTTTTGTCATATTGAAAATGAATTTGTTTCATAACCAAAATGGAGATACAATCTGAGAGTTCAATCAAAACTTTATGAATGAAAAAGGAGGGTAAACTAACAAACCATAGGCTTCCTCCAAATTCATCTTCTCTGATTTTAACCACCCCTCAATCTCTTTGAGATTCGACCGCAAAAATAGAGCAACCACCTGCATATGCAAATGAAGTTGTAGAAATCATAAAAATAAAAAAAAACTTTGAATAATTTAGCTAAATGACCTCTATGACCCAGACTACTGGTTGAGTAAATTGATAGCTCAATCTCAAGCCAAAGATAGAGCAAGTCAAAGCATGAGGGCACTTTTATTACGAAAGAATTATCAACCTTAAAAGGACTTTCAAGAATGTCTTTTCCTAGAATGTGATGGACGATGGAGCATAATTATCTTCTTAGTTACCCACCTGTCCAACAGAAGAAACCCCTTTGTCTGTTCTGCCACACCTTGAATAATTTGATTCCTTCCTATCACCAACTAAGAGCTTTGTCTTCTCAAGCGCCTTAAAAAGTTCAGACTGAAATTTAAAAAAAAAAACTATTAAAACCATCAACAGCAGCATTTTGAAACTTACAACTCCTGCATATGAATCTGCTATCTAAGTGGAAAATTTCTTGTGATTGTTAACTTTAAAGCTTCAAATACAACCAAGCAATGTTAGTGTCTGATTTAACATATCTAAAGAACTAAAAGTCAGGTGTACGTGCCATTAATCAACTAAGATACTTGAATCCCATGAAATAAATCCCATAAACCAATTCTTGTGGTGTAAACAAACATAATAATGACAAATAAGCTTCTTAGAACCAAAATACAAAGAAGAAGGATCAAATATTGGAGATAAGGTATTATTTTACTGAAGTCTAATAACATGCACATCCAATTGTTGGCATATGGCGATCAATTCCACAAGTGAAAACACTCGGAGTTGTGGACAGGAAAGTATAACATGAACACTTCAATCAATGGTTTAAGAGAACCAAAAATTTAACATAATTCAGCCCCATGCCTCTAATTCATCTCCTTTTGAAATCTACAGCATAATAAAATAGAGAATATAACATGTAAACATATAATCTGTGTTTGCATGCATATGTACACTAACATGTACAGAGAAGCATACATGACAAAGACATACGCATAGGCCGATGATATATGCATGTATTCAGTAAAAATCCAAGAATATAAGAACCAGTAGAATCACGCAAGCTCTGCAACATGTCTTGTTACATGTTCTTAGTTAACTCGATGACGCAGAAAAAAAAGATTTGTATTCTTCAAGTTTTTACTCTCACATATTAGGCTTGTTCAAACCCCCCCTGCCCAAAAAAAAAAAAGGTCCTGTTTGGACATCTTAATAGCCATATCAGAGCCTCAACTTTACCTGCCTTTAAAGGCAGTCATTCAAATGGCCACTCTTAAATGGTCAAAATGACCGGTAACAATCTCCAAGTTTTTTATTGATAGCGGCACATTTTTATTGGTAGCTCCCTTGAATAATGGCGTATCAAGCTAGCCAGTCACACATCCTCAAGCAACTATAAGAGATTTTATTCCCACAGCTAAAAAAGTGGACATCCCAATGCAACCTAAATTCAAGTTCCCAGTGAGACTAGGTCTTGTTTGGGAAAGGGGGCCCTCAAACAGAGAATGGAATTTCCCAACCCCTTGTTAGGATGTAATGGTCATGAGAGAGCTACCTTACCAGGAGCTCCCGGTCAATGAATTAAGAGGCCATTAGTGGATGGTCAAGAATAAAAAAAACCGCTTATTAAAGTTTTGCATCCACATTAAGTTGTATACAAACACACACATCCTAGTAAACCATAGGAGTTTACATAATAGGTAATATGAAAAACATCAAACACAAGGGTCACAAAAGAGCCAATATCATTTGAAGTCCCATACTAAAAAAGAGGTTCAAGTAAAGTCTACAAAATCACCTCAACAGTGGGATCCTTATTTCCCTCTGAAGCAAAACCATAGAACCTGAAGGAACAGTAGAAAACCAGTAAGTCTTTTGCAACCACTTATTTATGATTGTAGAGGTAGCTAATTTCTGATTAGAAAACTAGGAATATGCTTTTCTTATCTGAAGCTACAAATGTAATTTCTTGCCATAAATAGGTGCAGATCTAGGTCATTACGTTGTCTTTGGCCAAGGATTCCAATTTTGGGCTTCAGAATACAAAGAAGGTACCTCTGTCCCAAGTACATGATCTTTAGAGCAATATATCTTTTGGTATGTTGATGAGATATCTTCAAATGGTAATCTGTAACCAAAATGAAGAAAGGAAAAAAGGAAAGTAAGACCTAAAATATAGTGACGCAAAGTCAGAAAATTTAAAGCGAATGTCTAACAATAAGAAAATAAATATAGAAGACAAAAACCATGAAACATGAATATAATAAGTAGTAAGTTAAAATTGAACGCATAGAGAACTTGCAACACACACGCATGCAAAGAGAACTTGACACACATATGCATGCATGCATAGAGAACTTGACACACACATGCACGCACATGCACACACACACACACACACACAACAAAAAAATACCTTAATATGTAATCTATAAAGACAATCACATCTAGACTAGCCAGAAAACCACAGCAATATTTATATTTTAGAACAGTGTTTAGGAAATTGCTCAGCCAAGGTACTTGGCCCTTGGTCGAGACAAGTGACTCGGGTTGGTCCAGTGGGCTCAGCCAATTTAAACACACCCCATTAGAATGTAAAAAATTAAAAATTTCTAAAAAATAATCACAAATAAGAAAAGTATTTAGAGCTAAGAGAAATCATTAGAAGGCTAGAGAAGATGAAAAAAGTTTAAAACAGGGACTATTGAAACTTTTGATTTATACCTATAATATTTTAGAAAATTAAAAAAAAAAGGAAAAAGATTGAAAGATTCCAAATCATCCTAAAAACTATCAAAATCATCCAAAAAATCATTTCTAAAATATATTGGTCATTTCTATTCTTTTAGATTTTTTAACATTTTTTTTAAGGGAAAATATCTTCGTACCCCCTATTTTTATGTTTCATATCTCAATAGACCCAAAGTTTCAAAATATATCTTGGGGCATAAAAATCCTAAGTTTTATATCTTTTAACCCCCTGATCTGACTTTACTCACTTTAATTCAATTTTTTAGCCCAAAAAAATCTTAAAAAGACAACTCTTTCAAAACCCCTTCTCTCTCTCATGCTCTCTCTCTCTTCATGTGTTTCCCCAAACCCCTCTCTCACTCTCCCCAATTGGGTTGGGCGTTTTTCTCTCCAAAAATAGCCCACCCCATTAACCTGGTTTGATCCCGAAAAGCCCATTTACTAAGAGCCTCTAATTCTAGAAAAATAGAGGTGAAAATCATGGAGGGGGAGCCCAAAGACCTAGCATGTCCTTTAATGATGGATTCTGGTCAGGAAACCAATAGATCAGAGAGTGATGAGAGAGATATAGTGAAGAGTTTATCGGGGGGGATGAAGCTTTTGGCTCCCCTGTTGGATGAGGGTGGGGAAATGGAGAGGCCATTACTGAGAAAGAGAGAGAGTTGCCATCTCTTTTCCTGGTGTGCTGTGAATTTGGTTTGTTCTTTTGATAAGAATATTTGAATTCTATGAATTAATGGAAAAGCAAAGAACATGAAATTGAAATTATCTTTGAGTTTTGGAGAAACACAGTAGAGAGAGAGAGAGAGAGAGAGAGAGAGAGAGGGTAGGGTAAGGAACGAAGGAAGGAGAGAGAGAGAGAGAACGAACGAGGGAGGGAGGGAGGAGAGAGAGAGAGGAGGAGGAGAGAGAGAGAGAGAGAGAGAGAGAGAGGAGAGAGAGAGAGAGAGACGGAGGAGAGAGAGAGAGAGAGAGAGGGAAGGGGTCTGGGGAGTGATAGGGGAGAGAGAAAGAGAGTGGATGGGTTTAAAAAGAGTTGTCTTTCTAATATTTGTTTGGGCTAAAACAATAGGATTAAAGTGAGTAAAGTTAATCCAGAGAGTTGGCAGGATTCTTAGCAGAGTTGGAATATGTGTGCGCGCTGATCCAAGGGGTGGATAAGCAAGTGTCAAGTTGGGATAGTCAAGGATATTTTTACTGCTAGATCCTTCTACAGGATTCTATCAAGTGATATCGACCACTTATCTCGTCTGAGGGTTCTGGAGGTTGGCACTTTGTCCCAGGCTTCAGCTTTTGGACAATGGCATGCTGCAGGAGTATATTGATGGTGTACTGCATTCAAAGGTGGGGTATTTAATTCAATATGCATATTTTATCTCAAGCTGAGAAGGAAATGACTAGCCACCTTGTCATTTTTTGTACGTACGCTATGTCCATACAGGCCTGTTTTCTAAACCTCTTTGGCATGCAATGGGTAACCCCAGTTTCTATGGAGGACCTCATGGTGAAGAATGTCTCTATGGCAATCTCACCTAGGGGCTGGGTGCCCTAGAAATTGAGCATTAGGGCCATTATTTAATGCATTTGGATAGAGTGCAATCATCATATTTTCAGGCATCAAGGGGTACACAAGTTGGCCTTCAGGGAGAGTATTAGGAAGAAGTAATCTCATGGGCTTTGGGCTTTGCTTTAACCAGAATTTTGAGGTTTCCAAGCCACTAAGGATTGGAAGATTTTGGCCTTATCGAATCCACCCTGGCTTCAATTCACAGCAGTTTGGGTTGCACCAGCGGAGAATACTGTGAAGCTAAATTTTGATGGATGTACACGGGGAAACCTGTCACCAGCACATATCGGTGGGATTTGCAAAGACGAAGACGGCAGGAAGATTAAAATCTATTTGGGCCCATCGGGGATATGCAAATCTACATTAGCAGAGGCTCGTGCATTGCTTAGATTTATAGGTTTACAGATATGTCCCTTCCATTTAAGGAGTTAATTAGTAGTAGAGGGGATCATCTTAATGTCATAAGATGCGCCCATAAAAAGCCGTCTGTGACGCCGTGGAGGTTGGCTATGATATTTAGTGAGATCTTTGATATTTGGGACGTTCAGAATGAGACGTTTTTTCACATTCTTAGGGGAGCTAACCAAGAGGCTGATACCCTTGTGAATGGTGGGGTAGTTTGCGAATCACTCTACATTGACGCAGGTTCTGTTGTAATACAGAGCCATTGTCATGACATCTCTCGACCTTTGTTCCATGTTTCTGATTTGCTTTGTTATTTTTAGTAACAAAATTTGTTGTCGATGGTCAAAAAAATTTTGAAAGTGTGTATTGACAAGAGACCAATAACACAATGTTCATCAAAGTAAGCAATACGAAGCATAGTCTAAAGATTCTAAACTAATAATGGACATGGATTTTGTTCAAAAAAAATAATGCACATGGACACAAATGAATGATAACCCACCTGCATAATTCATCTGAGAATTCTTCTTTCTTCGATGCATCCCGTTACTTGCATCAAAGAGATCAGGCATTTCATCAAGCCAGATCTGGTCCTCAACTGCTTTGCCTTCAGAACATTCTTTCTTGATAACCAGACCCTTTTGGTCAATATTTTCAGAATCCATGTCTCTCTCGTGCATTTGATCAACAACAGTTAGGCCATCAATTTTACTCAACAATGGATGTGCATCACGTGAAGGATCAGCCTCCACAACAGAGCAATTTAGTGTCACCTCAGATACACTTTCTTTGGGGACAAGGGTGAGCTTATACGCACTTCCCTTTCCTATCTGCACAGAATGAAAAAGAATTGGTCATTCATTGAGCCCAAGAAGAAGAACCCGCACAACATTTTGCCAAAGAAGAAAGACCTTAGCAGGAAAAACAAGAGGTATCTTATAACTCATACGTGCTATAGCAAGACCTATCTACTTATGGATCACACAAACCTAGCTGACAATTTGTCCAAAGCAATGTTTAGAAAATTGCCTCAGCCAAGGTGCTGAGCCCTTGGCTGAGGCAAGTACCTCTGCCAAGTCCAAATGGACTTGTCCAAGTCATATACACACAAGAAAATTCCAAAGAATTCGAAAAAAGGTTAAAAAAATAGTTAGAAATAGAAAAAGTTAAAAGAGATAATAGAGAGCATTAATACTAAAAAGGATGAAAAAGAAAACTATAAAATATGGATTATTGAAAAACTTCATTTATACCTTGCATACTCAAGAAAAATTTATAAAGGACAAAATAGAAAAGTTCCTAAATAATATTGAATACTATAAAAATAATCTAAAAACTGTTGCTAGTGTTTTCTGTTTTTTTGTACTTTTTAACTTTTCTCTGTGCTTTATTTCTTCTTGTTGCAGGTTTATGGGGTGAGGCGAATTTGGCACCCAACTGGCCTCGCCACTTGGGCGAGGCCGAGTTACTGATTCCGGTGAGTTCAAAAGAACTGATCCAAAGAACAAGTAAATTATTCAAAACATACACAATCATAGTGACCATGGGGGGCCTTGAGTATAATAGGCATAATTTATTACAAATACGTCATTTTGATACATGATTGTCTTATTTCTTATGAGGAACTTGCAGAAAAATTGCAAAAAGGTCGCTGTATTGATTATCAATTCATGTAATTTTGGACAAGAATTTATGATTTACTAGTTATAAGATTTTCTCTAGCAATAATAAAATTATATAAGCAGGCAATAATGATAAAAGTTCAGATTAAATTAAGCATACAGTCTCTAGAAATAAGTTCACGAAACAGACCTCCGCTAATCTCTTATTCTCAAGCTCCAATTCCTGATTAAGAGAATTAGAAATGACAATATTAGCACCAAAGTTCATCCAGAGTCACTGAAGAACAACAGGTTTTTCCAAACTCCAAAACCCTAATTCTGCCAAAAATAATAATAATTAAAATACAATTCCGATAAAAAATGAGCAAAGCCAGCGTACCTGTATTCTGGTTTCTAAGAATTTGATTTGCGATTGAAGGTTGGAAATTAGCTCACGGGTCTCCTTTAGCTCCCCTCCAGAGTCCATGGATGCAGAAATGTACTCAGAAAGAGAAAGTACAAGCCTTCTAGAGAGAGAGATAATTGCAGTTATAGAGAGAGTATTGCAGCTCTAGAGAGGGAAAGTGCGATAACTCAGTGTTAAGATCTTTTCCCAATAAAAATGGGCGGGTCCTAAAAGTCACGTTGACAATATCACTACTTTGTATGAAAGATGATTCCCCTGTAATATATGGGTGCGGTTTATATAGAGCCGAAGCTGTAAATAATCAAATTAGAGCCCACCCTTCAATGTCCATAAATATGGTTTCAATATTGAAAAGCTTTGTGATAGCTTTAAATTATATTTTCATCTTTATTTATAAAATTGAAAGCTTAAGAAGTAGTGTTGATGTAGCAGATCTATGAAAACAAAAAAATCTTGAAAATTGATGGTCCAAAAACGCGTTACAAGATGCACTATTTTCAAAACTTGAAATCGGTATTTTTTCTTATGTTCATATATCGTATGTCTATGTATCAAGATGATCAATTTGATGATATTTGAGCATAAAAAACAGCCTCTTCTCAAGTAGGTTATAATCTAATTGTTTTGAGCCTAGGCACTATGTAAACTTTTCTCATAATATATTACTTAGTAATGACCCTCCCCCACTTATATGCGTAGGACTTGAATGGATAACCATTAAAATTGATATAGATTTCTAAAAAAAATTAGCACATGGATGTGAAACTTGATTTTTCTATAGATCCGTGTTAAATTTAATAATGATTCTTTGATGCTCTATATACATGGGTGGAAAAGGGTCCTATACGACCATTTCTCATATATTATTGCCAATTTTGATCTCGGGGATGGTCACACGGGACCTTTATCCCTCATGATTTGTATTAATAGAAATCAACATGCTCCCGTTGGAGCATGTCCTATATCTACTCCCTTGCTTTGAAGACTTATTTTAACTTAAATTTTTTTGGACACTCATATATGTAGAAATACGGGCCCATTAATAAATCTATTTTTAGGATGGATTTTTTGACTTAATTTTTAAAAAATGAAAATCATGAAAATAAATAAATAAATTTTAAAAACTAAAAATTATAATTCTATTAAGAAATCATGTGGATCGCTAGTTTAAATTGTTTTTAGATGGACCACATAGTTGCATCATTTTTAAGATTGATGTTTTATCCTTATGGACCGTATATGTAGAAATGCGATCCACCTCACATGAAATAATTTTTCAAATTTTTTACTTCATGTGCTTAAAGGGTGCAATAAGGAATATTTTCTCTACGCACTCAAGAGGTCGTATCCTTAACATTTTGGGTCCTAAAATTGATCCTTGATGGGGGATTACCTGAGGGAATAAATGGACAATATACTCCCCAGGAGCATGATAATATCTTTTGGCTCTACTTAAAACTTTTTTTTAAAAAAAAAAAACAAATTTCATATATCTCTACCTTCAATATTGGAAATTAAACATTTTTATGATTAAGTAATTTTTAAATATTTTAACATATTCAAAATCCATTTAGAATTAAGCTTTTTTCTAATTCTTGGAATTTGAAAATTATAAATTAAAACCTATTTATATTTTAAAATTAAGTAGGTATTACTTTAAGATATTTAATATCCAAAAATTAGGAAAAACCTCAGTTTTGGATTTAAAAAACAACTTAATTCTTGATTTTGGATTTTCAATATCCCAAAAAAAATTAGATTTTTGGATTTTGAATATCTGAATTTTAAAAAAGAACTTACTTATTAATCTCAGATTTTCATATCTGAAAATTAGGAAATACATTATTTTTAGATTTTTTTTACTTTAGAAATCCAATTTTTTTAAAAAATAATTCATTCCAAGAGTGTTTAATTTCAAATATTGAAGATCCAAAATTTGGACAATTTGTTATTTTAAAAAATTTGTGAAAAAATAGCTCTGAACATTATAGCAAAAAAAATTTAGGTAAATTTTAAGTAACATAAAAACGAAATATGGAATCAAATTAAAACTTAACTTTTTTAATGCATAAGGTGCATTATTCAAAATTCTAAATATCTCAAAGATGTTTAGTATTACGGTACTTCTACCATTTACCAAAATTTGAATAGTTTGAGAGTTGAACGTTCAGCCGACATTTTCATTTTAGTGCTTTGTTTAAGGGCTCGAAGCTATCTAATTTCGGTTTCATTTTTCCTCTCCTTGATCGCCAAAATTATTTAAAAACTGAAAAGTATGCGGTAAGCCTGTTTCATTTGACGTAAAAAGATTACACTCACTCTTTGAAAAGTATGTGGTAAGCCTGTTTTTATTTGACATAGAAAGATTACAATCACTCTTGACCATTAGATGTAAGAACACATAAGTTAGAGACGCACCTCTAAATGAGCTCACAATTAGATTTTTTTTTTTTAATTTTATTTGAGAGAATTATACACCTTACACAATTTTAAATTAACTGCTTGTAGTGTCTGTGCATTGTATATTAGGTAGCAGTGTCACTGTGTTGTTAGTGTTGTTACTGTAATGTTCACAGTATTAAGAATGATAGAGAGAATTAGGCGTACAAGTAGAATGTTATATTGGTATAAGATGCATGAGGACTCTAAATTTTACCTTAACCCGCCCTACACCCAAGTAAAAGAACTGGGTTGTGTTAGGTTGAGCTGGATTGTGTTAGATAGACAGCCAACGTAAAATTTTACTAAAACTTAACATGAATCCGGTACCTAAGCTCGACCCTAATTAGTTATTTATCATGAATCCGGAACCTAAGCTCGACTCTAATTAGTTGAAAAAAAGCTTTGATGATGATGATGAATTGAAATATTATACATCATTGAAAATCTTTCTTTAGCGCCCAATATCCATATACAAATTCAATCATTGACTCAAAACAATTTTAACAAGCCAAAAATATAACAAATCTCAAGCACCATCCTTGTACAATATAAAAATGCAAAAGTATAAAAAGATAAGGACGGCCTACAATCTTGTTACCTTATACAAAAGTCACAAGCACCTTAAGTTGTCAAATGTAAATCATAGAGCTATGTTGTGTTCCACCCAAAGTATGAGAAAAATCTTCTCAAGACTTTAAAGCACAATCACCATCTTATTGCATACTTTCCTGGCAGATTATCCTCAAACATATGAATCGCAGTTTGTATCTAGGCATTCATTGGATAATTTAACTGACTGATATGTACAAATGGTATCCCTGTTCTCTTCCTTTCACTTACGAATAGAAAAAAAAAACAATCCAAATAAGAAAAACATATAACGGGAGCCTTTACATCACCCTTTCTTTAGCTCCTTAGAATATATTACACCCTATACCACCTTCATCATCAGCAAAGAACTCCAAATTTCCAGCCAATGACTGCCTCAATTGCATCTTCTCGAGGTTGTCTTGAATCTCCTCTCCTAGTTTATTATCCTCAACATGAGACATCAAAAGTTTTGCAACCCTAGCGACACCTGGATCCTCAGTGGCCTTCAGGTACAACTCATTTGAAGGCTCGTTTGATCCATCAAGAGAGAATTCATGGCATTTTATGGGATAATCCTCGTAACTCTCTCTGCACATTGACTGAACAAAGACCATGGGGGTGGAGTAGAGGACTGCTATGTCAACTGCATCCATGCAAGCCTTGCTTATTCGCAAGTCTAGATGATTAACTCCAATTATGCAGTCTTGAAGGAAAAGTGTTTGCATTTTTTCGTATGTTGGTGTTAGAATTTCAGCCTGCGTCATATAGTGAAAAATCTTCTTGTTAGGAAATTATGGTAATTTTGCATGTTTGGTTCTTGGGAAATCTCTCTTCTGGGAGAGAGATTTCCATTGACTGAGCTGCTTTCCCATGTTTGTTTCATTGTTTCATGGGAAAGTTGTGCCCAGGAAGTCTACAATGTTCATGCCACTATACAAACTAGCGGTCTTTCATAGGAAAGTGGCTTCATACCTCAAGGTATGAAGCTTCTTTCTTTGAAATCTCCCCCTTTGTAGAGATATTTCTGATGAATAAAACATCCCCTAATAAGTTTGAATTTTCTAAGGTTCTCCGGGAAAAAAGCAGTGCAAATAACACAAAGAAGATACAAAAATTTGAAAGTCAAAGAAAGAACAATTATTTTCCAGAATTTTTTTTTGCCATTTCTTCAAGTTTATACTTCGAAATTTTATACTCATGCATCGTATATATTGAATTTTCCAAAATAATGATGGCAATTTCCTCATTGCAAAGGTGGAAACAAACAAATCAATGGGATGGAAAAACATCAAACAAAACAAAAGTAAAATAAGTGTCACAAACCAAAAAAGATTCCAATGCTAACATTACGATGTCATGAGCATTCCTCGCATTTACTCAATGGCAAACTCAAAACCAAAGACCCAAAAATGTAGTGTGTATAAAAAAAATGATAATCACACCAAAATTTTAATATTTTCCAAGAAAGTGAGTAGTATATGGGTGTCAGGGGCTATTCAAGAAGACATTCAAATAGGAAGAGTGGATACCATGGGATTCAAGAATATTTAGTAGGTTGCGATGCTTTGGTCATTTATTGGAAGAATTGGATAAAGAAAAGGCAAAGTAAAGAATTGGAAAAAATCACATATGATCATCACACTTCAGCCATCAAAATTAGGGGGTGGCAATGGGTCAGGTCTGAGTCGGGTCTGGCCAGTCCTGGACCTGATAATATAATATGGGGACCCAACCTGGTCCAAAGTCCCCAAACCTGACCCAAAAATCAAAATGTCTCTATATCTAAATATATTTTATAAATATGTTAAATATATATATATATATATATATATATATATATATTATTTAAACATTATAACTCTAAATATAAAGTTAACTTAATTTAAATATTATTAATCATATATTAAATATTAATTAAATATCACAACTATTCTAGTCGGGTCTACATGGACCCGGTCGCAGACCCTAATAGTGTTCGGGTCCAAGATTTGGATCTAGACCAAACCAGCCCGGCCCAAATTTTGGACCCATAATCAAAATCATCTGTATCCGAGGTCCCAAAAAGAAAATGATTCCGCTAGTAATGATTAATAATTTACATAGGGAACTCTTCACATAAGACGTTAGTTAAGATATACCTGGATTTGAAGTGATAACAGAGAATGGCTTCGAATGATTCTGCAATTTGCAACATCTAGAGCCTGGAAATCTCTCATATCTTCTGCAGACATCAGTACTAGCTGGAGATTTTGCAGCTCAGGATACAAACCATCTTCTGCCTTAGTGATATTTTGAGCTTGAATCCTCGCCTCCTTTCTCTTTTGTACTAAAGTTGAGTAGAAGTCATTCTCTACTTCTTGTGCAGTTCTAAAGCCTACCTCTTTATCACTCCTGAGATTTTCAAAGAACTCCCTTTGGATGGCTTCTATGTTTGATTCCTCTTGAATTGATAACATGCGAACCCAACCAGATTCCAAGGTAACAAATGGAGACTCACTCCTAAGGATGATTTTCCTTCCACTTTTTAGTTGTTCGCAAAGCCAAAAATCACTTGTGAAGATACTGAAATGAATGGTCTCCCCAGTTTCAGCATCTGGGTATTCATGCACAGGCACCATTGAAATTGCCCCCTTGCTAAGAAAGAGAGAAATGCTCCCTTCTCCCTCCAAATTCAAACCAAAAGATTTCAGGAGTTCTCCATAGTCTTTAGAAGTATTACGCGAAATGAAGGCAACCATGATCCATGCACACGGAACAGTGGATTCCGGCATAGTGAACTCAAGATGTTGCATCGAGACTGAATTCATCGTATGGAACTCTTGGAAAATTTCGTGCTTGTTGAACACCGTCTTTGTTGCAAAATGCATAGCAGGTGCATATATGTGTTTCTGCATGAACTCATCAAATAACAGACTTCCTTGTAAAATACGTTAGGGTGGTTTATTTGGTCATCATAGTGTTAAAATTGTAGCAATACTGCCATACTTAAACATCATATAGTGAATGACCATGTAGAAAGATGGCCACTAGGTTTGCATAGGAAAGGTCCACAACAGTTGAAACTAAGGCAATATTGAGATGCTAGAGTACTCTTGTATTACCACTAAAATTCCGGTCCATATTTCAGGGTTGGATTGGGATACTATGGTTGTGGATATTTTTCTTATAATGTCATTTTCTATATTATAGAATCAAAGAGAATATTATATAGGGTACTATCTGTCCATATATAACAATATTATATTAAGTAATTCAAAAGGTTGAGCAGCAGAGCGCCTGAAAATTTTAATACATAACTGCTTAATCTACCACTAGAATAAAATGAAGCATATAATGCATATTTCAAGTGAGATAAAAATTCAAAATAACAGCGTAAGCAGGATAACTCTGCTTGGTACTCATCAAACTAAAACGCAGTTACATCGAAATAAACAAATTCAACACTACAATCCAAGCACATAAAACAGTAACTCACCTGAAGTTTTTGTAACCACTCGTCCCCATAATAGAGAAAACCCCAATATGTGATGAAAATATGCAACTCCTTCAGTGTCTTCACCTGCTCCAATCCCTGTACATAGTGCAACACCATGCATCCCACTGTGTCAAGCTTTTCAAGATGTTGCAGTTCATCAATGGATTGAATCATGGAGAGTCCTTCACAGTTCCTCAAAGTCAGCTCCCTCAGCCCCATACTGAACCCACTAGGGACTGAAACAATTTTCAGAAGAGGACATCTAATGATTTCCAACTGTCTTAGAGTTGGAGACACCTCAAATTCAACCAAGTTGGGGCAAGAAGTTATAGAAAGAGAGATGAGGTTCATAAACACACCCTTGACATTCACATGGGCAATGGACAGTTTACAAAGTTGTAGAGATGCCAAAGAAGAGACTGAGCCACAAATCAAGGCAAAAGACTCATTTGAGACCTGGCACTCATCCAGAACTAGCTTCCCTAGAAGGGAGAGATTTGAGAAGCATTGGTGTGATATATAGAGGCCAGAATTTCCTATCAATTCCATTTCCTTCAATTTTGAGAGATTGCCAATGCTAAATGGCAACTGCACCAGATCTCTACACTCCTTTATGCGTAAAACCTCTAAATTGCACAAATGTCCTATCTGCTCTGGTAATTCAACCAGCCCACATGATGATAAAACCAGGGTTTTAAGGTTCCTCAGCTGCCCAATTGATGGAACCAAGTTCTTGAGATTTGGGCAACCATCCAATGTGAAAATAAGTAAATTACAAAGTTCACCAAAGGAAGAGGGCAATTCCACCAGTTCAGGACCTCTTATATCAAGCCGGAACAAAAATGATAACTGCCCAAAATTACAAGGTAGCTTGATGAAGTCCCTACTCGAGAGCATTAGAACGCATAAATAAGGCAGCTGAACAATGGACGGTAGAAGATTGAAGCTCTTACAAGACAACAGATTAAGGAATACTAGGCTTCGAGAATAAATTGGATGCTGCAGATCAAGAAGTTCACACCCAGAGATATCCAGATATGTTAGCTGAGCTAAATGATCGAATGGAAGTGCCATAAGTTGCTTACAATTGCGCAAATTTAAGTCGACCAAGCTTGAAAGATGAACAAAAGAATCAGGAAGTCTTCCCAATTTCTCACAACCTGACAAATTAAGAATCCTCAGATACCTTAAATTTTCAAACAATGGTGGTAAATTTTCAAGACTGATGCACCCTGACATGTCTAGATGAACCAAAGATTGCAAATTGCATATCTCATCAGGAAGGGTGACTAGAGCTTTGCAGTCTTTCAAAACCAGTGTTTTTAAGTGCACTAGCTTTCCTATTGATGTTGGAATTGCAATGAGATTTTCACATCCTTGAAGTTGAAGGTGCCTTAACTGGAGAGGGACCTGCAACCAATGAGAGCAAACAAATTTAGAAGAACTCCAAAAAACAGTTACATGGGAAATGCATGTAAGAAATAACTACCTCTGAATTCTCCTGGTCATCCCACAAATGAGAGAATTGACCTCCTTCTAACTCGAGAACTCGCAAATTGGCTAGGGGAAGTCCCTTTGGAAGGGTAACATAAGGGCAAAATCGCCAACGTAGCCATATGATTCCCTTTGGTAATTTGTTGAATTCCCCTTCAATACAAGTATCTTCTAAGAAAAGCAATTTCAATTTACTCATCTTTGTGAAGCACTGCACAGGCCAAGCTCTGAGAAGACCGATCCCGTCTTCTTTCCAAATAATAGATGAAGGGACCATGTTCAGTTCTGACATCTTAGAGGAATATGACCTTCTCTCCACTAGACTGAGATACTCCACATTCATGAAGCCCTGAACCATTTGAAACCACAGAACTCTGTCAGCTTTTAGGTATGAAAGAAAGTTAAACTGAAGCAACTAGTTCTAGGTGCATCTATTCCATGAAACCACACGGAACGAAAAAATACAATACAGAAATGTGGAGAAAGAAAAAAAATTAAAAGAATGAGATAATATAAAAAAAAGCAGAAAGCTGAAACATGATTTTCAAATAAATAAAAAATGTTAAAAACCCGCTAGTTACTTGTTGAAAGGAGCAAATACAACCACATTCACTAAATTTCAGTGTTATGTGATTATTTCTTCAAAGTGAGGATGCTTTGGCTGTTTCTAAAATTAGGAAGATATCAGCAAAAGAAGTAATATTCATTTTAAGAATGCAGTTATAGAGCATATGAATCAACATTCCTGGGGCCATCAATATGATCGGAATTGTACGCACATTTTAGAGCAGAATGAGCTATGAGAAGAGGAAATGGTAATACTAAAAACTTATTATGTCATTTAAGAGGACATTAAGGGTTTTAAATAACTTTGGCCATATAGACTACATGAAATAGAACTAATTTATTGATCTAAGACACTCTTTTATAAATAGACCAAACCATCAATGGGGAAAGTTACCAAAAATTCAAAAAACAAGCACTTGAGTTGTCATCATTTATACACATGTCCTGGCATAATAACAGATGACTTACAGTGTTTTGTTGCAAGGCTTTCTGCACGTGCTTCTCCTGCCACAATCGTGTACATGAGCTAGGATCTTTCATGTAGTCTTCATTAAGAGACTGTAAGAAAAATTGTTTTAACTGTGAATGGATTGAGAGCCTCTCACTGTTCGGTTCTTGTTTCACTATGCTTTTTTGTGTGAGTTTGTTTAGACCCATATCACTAGAGATCCCTAAGGAATTCCAAAAGCTAACCGCGATATCCTTGTCTTCTCCATCCAAGAAACATGCAATATCAAGAACAACATTCTTTTCTGTCTCACTAAGATTGACAAAACTTGATTGAAACCTCTTTGTTATTTCGGCAGGTAAGATCTCAGATGCCTTTTTTAAGGTATTCTCCCAATAAAACCGGCTAGTGATCCCAGAAAGCTTTTGGCCATAAACCTCTAAAGACAATGGCAATCCATCACTGAGGTTGAGGAACTCCTCGGTGAATTCTTCAAGTTCCGGATGTGACAATTCAGGTCTTTTCATGGCATGCATGAGAAGAAGTTTTCTAGCAGAATCTCGGTCCATGAACGGTACGTCATAAATGCATGCATGGTGAAACTTTTTAACTAATCCATTGTTATTAGAAGTTACCAGAATAATGCTCTCATGACTTAGAACCTCATGCACCATAAGAGCTTCCAATTGAAGATGGTCATCAACATCATCGAGAACCAAGAGGATCTTGGCCCCTTGTAGATGCTTCTTGAGAAGTTTGATACCTTGATCAGTGCTACTAATATGGTCTCCATTATACAATGCCAGTTCTTTTAGAAGCATTTTCTGCATATTTTGCAGCTCCTCACCAGTCATTTGCTTCATATTCCCAACAAAGCACGAAGACCTGAATGACGATCGATGCAAATTGAAGTACCTCTTGGCTATTGTTGTTTTGCCAATTCCGGTCATACCAACAATTCCAACAATGCAAGCCCCATAAAGAGATTCGTGGTTGTTTATGATAGCATGCAATTCATTAACTCTTTGATCAATAGCAACAGGGTATTTAGCAACTTCCATGTCCACACTCTTCACTCTTCTAACCACATCTTCAACGAGGGCACTTACAAGGTCCTCTTTCCTACAATAGTGCAATCATGCAAAGATGATAGCTCATCCTGTAAATTAAAGATTTAATCCTAAAACCCAACCCATCCTATATAAAGTATTAGCCAAGCTATTAGAAAAGAAAAAAAAATTGTTGACTGAAAAAGCCAGTTGTGAACTTCTCATTATGCGTGCATAGATGGGAGGATTTGGTTATGAAGCTAAAGAACTTTATCAACCCTAAAAAAATAAGTTTCACTAAATTTCATGAAATTCTTTCTTGAATTTTCCCTAAAATGGTCAAACGACCTAAAAAAATCATTAAGGTGATAAAATCGACTAATTTAGAGTTAAAAGTAGTTACTTTATGTGGTTCCTCACTCAGGTACCTTAGAAATTTTGTTAAAAAGGCCTCGATTGCCCTTGTACCAAATACAGAACCTGGAACAAGCAGGGCAATTGGATAATTAATTCACGGGCTCAAGACAAATGACATAAATAGCCATAGTTGTTAAAGGTTAGGAATCGAGGACATCTTTTTAATATCAAAAGCTCTTGTTTATATGATTGGCTAACCACGGCAGCTCTTGCCACTCTAGTGAGAGGCCCAACCGGTATATTTTATGAAAGTTCCAAACTAGGGTACTTTTGGGAAAACTAAAAAATACAAAAATAGTACGAGCCTAAAATATGAAATATTAGATAATTTTTTAAACTTTCGCATATTTATATGGAACATTTGCTAAATTCCTTTTAAAAAAATCAATCCATTTCCTAAGTAATTCAAAAGGTTGGCTATCACATGCATAGTTATCAATATTGGAACGGCCACCAAATACATGATTCACAAATTTAAATTCAGCTCAAAAAATATATAAAAACACTGCACTTTCATGCAAATATCAGGTAAAACAAATCCCATGAAAAAATGAAGAGTAAAATTCAGGCCAATACCAAAACTAAAAAAAATCTACATATCAAATTAAATGAAAGAGTAACAGGTAAAGGTTAATTACCTGCTATAATCCTTAAATGTTGGCCCCCATATCTCTGCAACTTGCTTCAAAACCTCCTCCCATTTCGCGATTGTTTCCAAACTATAATCTTTACTCTTTCTATGCATCCGAAAAGCTTTCTTGAAAGGCCCTCTATTCACATCTCTCAAGTCATCAGGCCCAACATTGTAGTAAACAGGAATCAATATCCCCTTGCTCTCTCCATTCTCTCTCTCATCAACCATCATTCTCACCTCGTCCAAGCACCATGGGGACTCTGCAAACCCTTTGCTCAGCAGAACCAGCCATATCGACGAAGCTCTGATCGCTTCCACGATCACACCGCTTAAGTTCTCCCCCTTTCGAATCTCGCGAGAATCAACGAAGCTCGACACTCCCAATCCACTCAGATCGCCATGAATCTTCTCGGCAAGCTTCTTGAGCTCAGATCCCCTGTGGCTTATGAACGCATCATAGATAATCACCCTACCTTGAACCTCTTCGGAAACAAGAACCTCATCCATTCTCTCTGGGCAAAAATTGGCAACAATGCCAGAATCTGAAACTGTAATCTAGGGTTGAAGAAGCATAAACAAATGTTTCAGGTTGAATAACTCGAGGAAATGAGAAATTCTTGCATTGAAGAGAGGATGTTTGGCATTGATTAGGGTTAGGGTTCAATTGAATGGAAGCCATTTCTAAGTCAAAATGGAACGGAAAGAACGCGGGTTTTAGGTATTAAAAAAGTAGGACGATCTTGACTTGCGGAGCTTTCATGGAACCAGTTGCAGAATAATGGAGGCCTAAGCTCATAGGTTGACTATGGAGCCTAAGCTCATAGGTTGACTTTACTCTGAGCTGTCCCATCTCTGAAAAGTCATGACAGACTAAAAAAGAGCATTCAACGGATAGAATGCACGGCTCCGCGCCGCGCGGCAATTTGCGCCGCGAGACCACCCGAGGGTGTTCGGATCTGCAAGGAAATATTGGACCAGGCGGGTTGGGTCCGGGTCCGGGTCCAATCGGTCGGTACGCGACTTAAATTGAGTTCCGTCCATGCTGGATGTAGGGTGGTTCTAGCAACAGCGGAATTGACCCGATATGAGGGGCAAGCATTCTATGCTTTCCCTCCCCCATGGAAGTTCTATCTTTCTTTTTATCCAACCGTCCATTCTGAATTGAGGATTAAGATTGCCTCAATCACAATATCATCTCTATAATATTTTATTTTTAATTTTTTTTTATAAATTATTTTGGCACCAAATTTTGGACGTCCATTCCTCTATTAAACTCGTACTAATGAAAAATATAAAAAAAATATTTTCAATAAAATAAAATGATCAAAATACCCCATAAAGCTTCAAAGGGTACTTTGGTCATTATATTTTATCAAAAAATTATTTTTAATATTTTTTATAGGTACCCCTCAATGAGAAGATACCACGTACCAAATTTCATATTCATACAATTTGTATAAATAAAATAAAAATAAACTATTTTGAGACGTCGGATCTAAGATCATACAATGAGTGGCTCTCTCGATCAAATTTGGACGGTTGGATGGTAAGGGGAGGATAGAACTTCTTCTATGCTGCAGGGAAGCATAGAAACCTTTCCCATTTATATATAGGAAAAATTGAGCAAGCTTTCTATGCTTTTCCTACAACATAGAAGTTCTATCCTCCCCTTATCAACCATCTATTCTGAATGGAGGGTTAAGATTGCCCAATTCACAATGTCACGTCTCTACACTACTTTATTTTTAATTTTTTTTCTATAAACTATTTTGATACCAAAATTTGGATATCCATTCCTCTATTAAACTCACACTAGTGAACAATATAAAAAATATATTTTCAAGAAAATAAAATAACCAAAATACCCTTGAAATTTTTAAGGGGTATTTTGGTCATTATAATTTATTGAAAAATTATTTTTAATATTTTCTTTAGGTGCGTCCCAATGAGAAGATGGCACGTGCTAAATTTCATATTTCATACAATTTATATAAAATAAAAAATTAAAAATAAAATACTTTGAGACGTCGAATCTAAGATCAAACGGTGAGTGACTCTCTTGATCAAAATTGGACGGCTGGATGGTAAGGGGAGGATAGAACTTCTATGCTTTAAGGAAAGCATAAAAACCTTTCTCAAAAATTTATACAAGGCCATAACCTTAAGTAAGACACACCTCAAAGAGTCATAATAAAAGGTCATTTTGTCAATAAAAACCCTCTAATTGATCATCTCAATCTCGATAGGAGTGGATATGAAAAAAGAAAATGCATCTTTTTTTTAACTAAAGTTTATTAGAATCATCTCATCTCAATCTCGATAGGAGTAAGACGAGGCTCTAAACAATCAAATTAGAGCCTACTTCAAAAAATTTATTAGAAGATGTTGTTTTGATGCCCAAATATCCTCAAATTAATCATCTCGACATCAAGATGCATGCACATGATAAAAAAATAGATTTAAAGTTATGAAAATGGTGTATTTTGTAGTGTATTTTTGAACCATTAGTTTTCAATATTTTCAAGTTTTTTATGGATCTGTCAATCTATACTATTTTTGAAGCATAAATTTTATAAGTAAGGATAAAAAATATATTTTAAGGCTATCATAAGGATTTCCAGTATTGAAACCACATTTCTGGACACTATTTGAAGGTAGGCTCTAATTAGATTATTTAGAGCTTATGCTCTATAGTAACCGCACTCTTCGTAATTTGAGATGACAAATAAATTTTCTGACCATCACAAGGGTTTTCAACATTGAAACATCTTTCGGCATCCTTTAAATATCTACCTTATTTTGAGTGTTTAAGGCTTTAAGGTGACAACCTTATATACAAACCTCACCCTTATGCCTTCTATATAAGGAAATGTATGCAATGAGACTATTTATTTTTATACAAGGATATCACAATTATCATTGACTGTTAGAATTGAAATTATACGGTTGACAATGTGTCACTGATTTGGCACTAAGTCCAAAATAAAAATTCTCTAATATCGTGACGCATTTTCATCTACTGGACTTTACATTCAATGGTTAGAAATAACTGCGACCTCCTTGTACTAAAACTAAATTGTCTCATAGTATACAATCCATGTACATGCACTTCTAAAATGTGCGTCCCCTTATCCAATTCATGTCCATCTTAAAGATGGACATTAAAAGGCGGTGGTCCCACCAAAATCAAAAAAACCAATGGTCTAAAAAAATACATTAAATAATACTATTGTTTGTTTTAAAAACTAATTTTTTAAAAAACTATATTCACCATAGTATAGATAGTCGATCCTAAAATTTTTTGATCCAAAACCGATCTTAAATAAATGAGTTAGCCCACTCATGAAAACCATGTCCTGTATATATAAATTAAGGAAAAATATATAATTAGACCATTTACTTTTGGTATAAATTAGTTATAATTAATCTTGACTGTTGGATGTGAAATTGGGTGATTGCATTTATTTAATTGACCAAGTTCAAAGTCCAAAAGAAAATTTCTCGAACTTTGTGGCATACCTAAGCCATCAAATAACAAATCCGATAGTTGTAAGTAATTGTGACCTTCCTATACCAAAAGTATGGTCTCATTGTATATAATCCCATATATTAAACATATAGGTGCACCCTAAATTTTATCATAAATGTAATTTTGATATCATAAATGTAATTTTCATCTCTAATTATAAAATTTTAAATTTTGAAAATGGTTCAAATCAAGTAGATCTACAAACACGTGAAAATATTGAAAATGAACGGTTTAGATAATGTGTCACAAGATGCACTATTTCGCGCACTCGAAATCTTTTTTTATTTTCATCTTCATACACCTCGATATCGAGATGATCAACTATAAGATTTTTCAACATCTAAACAGCCTTTTGGGATGGATTTTTGTGGTGCACCTTTTAATTCTACATTTTAAGGTTTGTCCTTACATATACGTAATACTTTACAATAAAAATTATTTTTCTTTTATCAATCTGGACTTTACCTAATGCATGTAAGGTCCAGGTGCTAGATCTGACATGGGCCCGAGTTTGTGTCTAGTTTCAGCTCGGACCAAATAGGGCTGTGTTCGGACTTCAGATCAACGTTGACCGGCACCCAGCCCCTGACCCGGCCCATTAACACCCAAACCCCTCCTTAAAACTTGCAAATGTGTTTCAGCCCATTGTTTGCAAAATCACCCGATCTAACCACTAACTGCTCGGTTAGATCGGAACCAGCCAGTAGCCGATTTTGGTTTTGGGCGGTTAGGCTGATTAACAAGTATTTTGAGAAAATAAATTCAAAAAAATATATATAAATTCTAAAAAATAAGGAATTTGATTTGTAATGCATTTTTTAATATTTTTTAAATTATGATAAAGATTAAAAATTGTTTTCGGTCATTAATACTCACTTTTATATTTTCCCATCTTTTTTAGAAATTTTTTTAAAGGTATTGTTTGTATCGAACCTAGGATCTAAACAACCAAATTAGAGCCAACCTTCAAATAGTGTCAAGAAATATGGTTTCAATATTGGAAATCTTTGTGATAGTCTTAAAATATATTTCCATTTTTCTTTATAAAGGTTAAAGCTTAAAACATAGTGTAGATCGATAGATCTATGAAAACTTAAAAATCTTGAATATTGACGATCAAAAAATGCGTTACAAAATACACTATTTTCAAAACTTGAAATTCATTTTTTTCTCATGTCTATGCATCTTGATGCCGAGATGATCAATTTGAAGATATTTGGGCATCAAAACAACCTCTTATAGTGAAATTTTCAAGGCAAGGTCAAATTTGATTATTTAGAGCCTCGGCTCTATATAAACTTTTTTCTTTTTTAAAATAGTCCTTAGAAAATATAAAATAGGTTAAAATCCACTTTTTTCATTAATTTTCAACTTCATTTCAATGTGTTTTGTTTTAATCATTCTTTATATGTTTTTCATATTTTAGTAGATTTTTTTTTTTTTTTTGATCGCCCTAGACTTGCCCGCTTAGAACGGTTGAATCGGCCGGTTTAACCGGCCTGCCGATTTATCGGTTAGGCCGGTTAAACCGCTTCCAGGCCCATGTCCGGTTAACCATTCCGATTCGATTTTTTCGAACACTATTTCAGCCCCTGGAAACTCTGATCTAGAGTTGTTACATTTAAAGACGTTAAATTGGTGCAAAATCTGATTAATCAACTGCACTTAAAATAGAGCACTTTTAGGGTTTCAAACTCTCTCTCTCTCTCTTTGGAGATTAGAGCTGTTGGGACTTCGATTTTTATATTCTTTTTAAGATCAATGGAGTCTTTATTTTAAAACTCGAGACATTGGAAGTCTGGAATTTGGATAAAGGATTAATTGGGTATTTGGGGGCATTTCACGAACATTTAGGAGATGAATCCTGGATTCAACTTTTATTTGTATACTGTCTAGATTCTAGTGTTTTAAATCGGGTTTGGGATTGTCCACCCACTATACCGTTCTTCATCAAAGGATCGGCAATCTGAATCAGTTGAACGAGTGAAAAAAAAGAAGTCGAAAAGCATGAAGGACAGTATAGCATTCACATGATGTGGATGATTGAATGGTGCAGAAGCACCTTTCAACTTCAAATTAGAAGAAAAAATTATGGATGGGCAATTAAATATAATATTTTCGATTTAGTAGTTTTCTCCTAGCTGTATATTTCATATGAAAACTATTTTGATATGAAAACTATTTCATGATGTAAGTTTTCATACGAATCAAACGTGCCCTTAGGCTTACCGTACAAATCCAGTATTAACTATGCTGGCTGCTACTGGCTTACCTCTTTTTTTTACCAAATGAAAGCCACTTTAGAATTGTCTACTGGATGGTCTGTATGCCCCCGGCACCTCTAATTGTGATTACAAGTAGAAATTAATGCTTGAATTTTATTTGAGAAAATTATACACCTCGCTTACACAGTTTTAAATTAGCAGACTGTAGTGCTTGTGCCTTGTATATTAGGGACTGTTGTTACTGCAATGTTCATAATATTAACCATGATAGATAGCATTATAGGTGTACAATTAGAATGTTATACAGCACTGAAAATCTTTCTCTAGCACCCAAAGTCCATCTACAAATTGCATCATTGACTCAAACAATTTTGACAAGCCAAAAATATCACAAATCTCAAGCATCATCCATGTATACAAATCTCAAGCATCAAATGTAAATGTCAAACGTGTCATTTATCCGCACAAAGTATGAGAGAAAATTTTTCTCAAGACTTTAAAGTACAATCACTATATTATTACATACTTTCCTCATAGATTATCCTCATCCATATAAATCACAGTTTGTACCTAAGCATTCATCGGAAATTTTAACTGACGGAAGTGTACAAATGACATCCCTGTTCTCGTCCTTCCACTTATGAATACAAAGAAAAGCAATCCAAATAAGCAAAAAATATAACAGCAGCCTTTCCTTCACCCTTTCTTTAGCTCCTTAGAATATATTACACCCAATGCCACCTTCATCATCAGCAAAGAACTTCAAATTTCCAGCGAATGACTGCCTCAGTTGCATCTCCTCAATCTCCTCTCCTAACTTAACATCATCAACATGAGATATCAAAAGTTTTGCAACCCCAGCAACGTATGGATCCTCAGTGGCCTTCAGGTCCACCTCATTAGAAGGCTCGTTTGATCCATGAAGAGAGAATTCAAGGCATTTTATGGGATAATCCTCGTAACTCTCTCTGCACATTGACTGAACAAAGACCTTGGGGGTGGAGTAGCGGACTGCTATGTCAATTGCATGCATGCAAGCTTTGCTTATTTGCAAATTTAGATGATCAACTCCAATTATGTAGAGTTGAGGGAAAAGTGTTTGTATTTTTCTGTATGTTGGTGCTAGGATTTCAGCCTGCATTATATAGTGAGAAATCTTGTTGTCAGGAATTTCTGGTAATTTTGGATATTTGGTTCTTGGGAAATCTCTCTTCTGCAAGGAGATTTCTGTTGACCAAGCTGCTTTCCCATGTTTGTCTCATGGGAAAGTGGTTCCCAGGAAGTCTACAATGTTCATGGCACTATAGAAAGTAGCAGTATTTCATGGGAAAGTGGCTTCAACCTCATGTAAAGAGATTTCTGATGAACAAAACAACTTCGAATTTTCTGAGGGTCTCATAGGAAAAAGTTGTGCAAAGAACACAAGAAGAAGATACAAAAATTTGAAAGTCGAAGAAAGAACAATTATTTTCCTAAAGTACTGTTTGCCATTTCTTCAAGTTTACATTTTCTTGTAATTTTACATCCTGCAGCTAATAACAATTTATAATTTATACTTTGAAATTTTATACTTATAAATTGTATATATTGAGTTTTCCAAAATATATTATGGGATATTTCTCAATGCAAAGGTCGAAACAAACAAATCAGTGGCATGGAAAAACATCAAATAAAACAGAAGTAAAATGAGTGTCACAAACCAAAAAAGATTCTAATTCTAACATTATGATGTCATAAGCATTCCTGTCATTTACTAAAGGCACCATAGAAAACTCAAAACCAAAAACCCAAAAATGTAGTGTGTATAAAAGAACTAATAATCACACCAAAATTTTAATATTTTCCTAGAAAGTGAGTAGTATATGGGCGTCAGGGGTATGAGCTATTCAAGAAGACATTCAAATAGGATGAGTGAGTGGATACCATGGGATTCAAAATTATCTAGTATCTTGCAATGGTTTGGTCATTTATTGGGAAGAATTGGATAAAGCAAAGGCAAAGTAAAGAACTAGAAAAAATCAGCTCTCATATGATCATCACACTTTAGCCATCAAAACTAGGGGTGGCAAAAGGTCGAGTCTGAGTCGGGTCCGGCCGGATCGGGACCGGGACCAGGACTCAGACCCAATAATACAATATGGGGACCTAACCAGGTCCAGAGTTTCCCAACCTGACAATATAATATGGGGACCCAATTGGGTCGAGAGTCCCCAGATCCGACCCACAAATCAAAATATCTATTTATTTAAATATATTAAATAAATATGTTAAATATATATAGGCATTATTTAAAAATTATCTCCAAATATATAATTCTATTAATTTGAATATTATTTAAATATTATATATTAAATATTATTTAAATATCATAACTATTCTGGTCGGGTCTACATGGACCCAGACGCAGACCCCAATAGTGTTCAGTTTCAGGATTTAGACTTGGACCCAACCTGCCGGGTCCAAATTTTGGACCCATACCCCGACTTGGGCCAGGACAACACGTCGTGTCAGTTCCGGGTCCATTGCCACCCCTAATCATAATCACCTATACTTGTCCAAGGTCCCAAAAAATAAATGATTCTGCTTGTAACGATTAATAATTTACATGGAGAACTCCTCCCAAAACACGTTATATAAGAAATACCTGGATTTGAAGTGAAAACAGAAGATGGCTTCGAATGATTCTGCAATTTGCAACATCTAGAGCCTGGAAATCTCGCATATCTTCTGCAGACATCTGTACTAGCTGGAGATTTTGTAGCTCAGGACACAGACCATCTTCTGCCTTAGTGATATTTTGAGCTTGAATCCTTGCCTCCTTTATCTTTCGAACAAAATTTGAGTAAAAGTCATTCTCTGCTTTTTGTGCAGTTCTAATGGCTACCTCTTTTTCTCTCCTGAGATTTTCAAAAAACTCCCTTTGGATGGCTTCTATATTTGATTCCTCTTGAATTGATAACATGCGAACCCAACCAGATTCCATGGTAACAAATGGAGACTTGCTCCTAAGGACGATTTTCCTTCCACTTTTTAGTTGTTCGCAAAGCCAAAAATCACTTGTGAAGATACTGAAATGAATGGTCTCCCCAGTTTCAGCATCTGGGTATTCATGCACAGGCACCATTGAAATTGCCCCCTTGCTAAGAAAGAGAGAAATGCTCCCTTCTCCCTCCAAATTCAAACCACAAGATTTCAGGAGTTCTCCATAGTCTTTAGAAGAATTACGTGAAATGAAGGCAACCATGATCCATGCACATGGAACAGTGGATTCCGGCATAGTGAACTCAAGATGTTGCATCGAGACTGAATTCATCGTATGGAACTCTTGGAAAATTTCGTGCTTGTTGAACACCGTCTTTGTTGCAAAATGCATAGCAGGTGCATATATGTGTTTCTGCATGAACTCATTAAATAACAGACTTGCTTGTAAAATACGTTAGGATGGCTTATTTGGTCATCCTAGTGTTAAAATTGTAGCAATACTGCCATACTTAACATCATATAGTAAATGACCATGTAGAAAGATGGCCACAAGGTGCGCATAATCCACAACAGTCGAAACTAAGGCATATTGAGATGCTAGAGTACTATTGTATTTACAACTTAAATTCTGATCCATATTTCAAGGTTGGATAGAGACACGATGGTTTGTGGATTTTTTTTCTTTTAATATCATTTTCTATATTATAGGATCAAAGAGAATATTATGTATGTTATTATCTGTCCATATTTAACAATGCTATATTAATTCAAAAGGTTGAGCAGCAGAGAGCCTGAAAATTTTAGTACATAATTACTTAATCTACCATTAGAATATAATAAATCATAAAATGCATATTTCAAGTGAGATAAAACTTTCAAAATAACAGAGTAAGCAGCGTAACTCCGCTTGGTACTCGTCAAGCCAAAACCCAGTTACATTCAAATAAACAATACCAACAATACAATTCAAGCACATAAAGCAGTAACTCACCTGAAGTTTTTGTAACCACTCATCCCCATAATAGAGAAAACCCCAATATGTGACGAAAATATGCAACTCCTTCAATGTCTTCACCTCCTCCAATCCATGTACATAGTGCAACACCACGCATCCCACTGTGTCAAGCTTTTTGAGATGTTGAAGTTCATCAATGGACTGTATCATGGAAAGTTCTTCACAGTTCCTCAAGGTCAGCTCCCTTAGACCCATATTGAACCCACTAGGGACTGAAACAATTTTCAGAAGAGGACATCTAATGATTTCCAACTTTCTTAGAGTTGGAGACATCTCAAATTCAACCAAGTTGGGGCAAGAAGTTATAGAAAGCGAGATGAGGTTCATAAACACACCCTTGACATTGACATGGGCAATGGACAGTTTACAAAGTTGTAGAGATGCCAAAGAAGAGACTGAGCCACAAATCAAGGCAAAAGACTCATTTGAGACCTGGCACTCATCCAAAACTAGCTTCCCTAGAAGGGAGAGATTTGAGAAGCATTGGTGTGATAAATAGAGGCCAGAATTTCCTATCAATTCCATTTCCTTCAATTTTGAGAGATTGCCGATGCTAAATGGCAACTGCACCAGATCTCTACACTTCTTGATGCATAAAACCTCTAAATTGCACAAATGTCCTATCTGCTCTGGTAATTCAACCAACCCACATGATGATAAAACCAGGGTTTTAAGGTTCCTCAGCTGCCCAATTGACGGAACCAAGTTCTTGAGATTGGGGCAACCATCCAAGGTGAAAATAAGTAAATTACAAAGTTCACCAAAGGAAGAGGGCAATTCCGCCAGTTCAGGACCACTTATACCAAGCCGGTGCAAAAATGACAACTGCCCAAAATAAGCAGGGAGCTTGATGAAGTCCTTACTCGAGAGCATTAGAGCGCATAAATAAGGCAGCTGAACAATGGAAGGTAGGAGCTTGAAGCTCCTACAGGACAACAAATTAAGGAACATTAGGCTTTGAGAATAAATTGGATGCTGCAGATCAAGAAGTTCACACCCAGAGATATCTAGACATGTTAGCTGGGCTAAATGATCGAATTGCAATGGAAGTGTCATAAGTTGCCTACAATTGCTCAAATTTAAGACATACAAGCTTGCAAGATGAACAAAAGAATCAGGAAGTCTTCCCAATCTCTCACAACCCGACAAATTAAGAATCCTCAGATACCTTAAATTTTCAAACAATGGTGGTAAATTTTCAAGACTGATGCACCCTGACATGTTTAGATGAACCAATGATTGCAAATTGCATATCTCATCAGGAAGGGTGACTAGAGCCTTGCAGTCCTTCAAAATCAGCGCTTTTAAGTGAACTAACTTTCCTATTGATGTTGGAAGTGCAATAAGATTTGCACATCCTTGAAGTTGAAGGTGCCTTAACTGGAGAGGGACCTGCAACCAATGAGAACAAATAAATTTAGAAGACCTCCAAAAAACAAGTACATGGGAAATGCATGTAAGAAATAACTACCTCTGAATTCTCCTGGTCATCCCACAAATGAGTGAATTGACCTCCTCCTAACGCAAGAACTCGCAAATTGGCTGTGGGAAGTCCCTTTGGAAGGGTAACATGAGGGCAAAATCGCCAATGTAGCCATACAATTCCCTTTGGTAATTTGTTGAACTCCCCTTCAATACAAGTATCTTCTAAGAAAAGCAATTTCAATTTACTCATCTTTGTGAAGCACTGCACAGGCCAAGCTCTGAGAAGACTGTTCCCGTCTTCTTTCCAAATGATAGATGAAGGGACCATTTTCAGTTCTGCCATCTCAGAGGGATTTGACCTTCTCTCCACCAGACTCAGATACTCCACGTTCATGAAGCCCTGCAACATGTGAAACCATAGAAACTCTGTTGTCTATTAGCTATGAAAAGTTAAATTGAAGTAACTAGTTCTAGGTGCATCCATGGCATGAAAACACATGGAAATGAATGAAATCATACAATATGGAAATGTGGACAAAGAAAAAAAGAAGAATGAGATAAAACAAAAATAGCAGAAAACTGAAACATGAAATACATTAAAAGGAATTTAAGACATAGGCTCTTCTTCCAACGCAACTTTTAAAGGGGCAGATTCAACCACATCCACTAAATTTCAGTGTCATATGATTATTTCTTCAAAGTGAGTGATGCTTTGGCTGTTTCAAAAAATTGGGAAGAAATGGCCAAAATAAATTATATTTATTTTTATGAATCCAATTATAGGGCATTTGAATCAACATTCCTGGGGGCATCAGTGTGATTGGAGTTGTTTGCACATTTTAGAAGAATGAGTTATGAGAAGAGGAAATGGTAATAATAATGAAAACTTATTATGTCATTTACAAGAACACTTAAGCGTTTTAAATAACTTTGGCCAATTAGTTGGGAAGAGACTCTGAATGGCGGACCAAGATTCGTGTAGCCGACCCCAATTAGTTGGAAAAAAGCTTTGATGATGATAAAATAACTTTGGCCATATAAACTACATGAAACAAAACTAATTTATTGATCTAAGACAATCTTTCAGAAATCGACCAAACCCTAAATGGGGAAAGTTACCAAAAATTTTAAAAAAAAAGCACTAGTTTGTCGTCATTTATATGCATGCCCTTGTATAACAACGGTATACAACGGATGACTTACAGTGTTTTGCTGCAAGGCTTTCTGCACGTGCTTCTGCTGCCACAATCGTGTACATGAGCTAGGATCTTTCATGAAGTCTTCATTAAGAGACTGCAAGAAAAATTGCTTTAACTGTGAATGTATTGAGAGTCTCTCACCGTCCAGTTCTAGTTTCACAGTCACTATGCTTTTTTCTGCGAGTTTGTTTAGACCGATATCACTAGAGCACCCAAAGGAATCCCAAAAGCTAATCGCCACATTCTTGTCTTCTCCATCCAAGAAACATGCAATATCAAGAACAATAGTCTTTTCTATCTCACTAAGATTGACCAAACTTGATTGAAACCTCTTAGTAATTTCAGCTGGTAAGATCTCAGATGTCTTTTTTAAGGTATTCTCCCAGTAAAACCGGCTAGTAATCCCAGAAAGCTTTTTGCCATAAACCTCTAAAGACAATGGCAAGCCATCACTGAGGTTAAGGAACTCCTCGGTGATATTTTCAAGTTCCAGATGTGACAATTCAGGTCTTTTCATGGCATGCATGAGAAGTAGTTCTCTAGCAGAATCCCGGTCCATGAGCGGGACATCATAAATGCATGCATGGTGAAACATTTTAACTAATCCATTGTCATTAGAAGTTAACAGAATAGTGCTCTCATGACTTAGAACCTCATGCACCATAAGAGCTTCCAATTGAAGATGGTCATCAACATCATCGAGAACCAAGAGGATCTTGGCCCCTTGTAGATGCTTCTTGAGAAGTTTGATACCTTGATCAGTGCTACTAATATGGTCTCCATTATACCATGCCAGTTCTTTTAGAATTATTTTTTGTGCATTTTGCAGCTCCTCACCAGTCATTTGCTTAATATTCTCAACAAAGCACGAAGACCTGAATGATGATCGATGCAAATTGAAGTACCTCTTGGCTATTGTTGTTTTGCCAATTCCTGTCATACCAACAATTCCAACAATGCAAGCCCCATAAAGAGATTCATGGTTGTTTATGATAGCATGCAATTCATTAACTCTTTGATCAATAGCAACAGGGTATTTAGCAACTTCCAAGTCCACACTCTTCACTTTTCTTACCACGTCTTCAACGAGGGCACCTACGAGGTCCTCTTTCCTACAACAGTGCAATCATGCAAATATGAGTAGCTCATCCTGTAAATTAAAGATTTAATCCTGAAACCCAACCCATCCTATATATATTATTAGCCAAGCTATTAGAAAAAAAAGAAGAAAGATAGATGGTTGACTGAAAAAACCACTTTTGAAGTTCTCATTAAGCGTGCATAGAGGGGAGGATTTGGTTATGAAGCTAAAGAACTTTATCAATCCTTAAAAAACAAGTTTCACTATATTTCATGAAATTCCTTCTTGGATTTTCCCTAAATGGTAAAACCATGTAAAAAAATCATTAAGGTGATCAAATCAACCAACTTAAAGTTAGAAGTGGTTATTTTATGTGGTTCCTCACTCGGGTGCCTTGGAAATTTTGTTTTAAAGGCCCCAACTGCCCTTGTACTAGATACAAAGCCCTCGATAAGCTGGGAAATTTGGTAATTAATTTAGTGGCTCAAGACAAATGACATAAATAGTTCAAGATTAAGAATCCAAGGACATCTTTTTAATATCAAAAGCTCTTGTTCAAACATAAACAAGGAGGACGTTTTCATTTCATAAGCTCTTGGTCATGGCGGCATGAGCCAAACGATGTGAATCCTCAGTTGTTCAGACTCGGGACCCCAGAACTCGTTTCTTTTCATAAGATATACTTGTTATGAGTTTCCAACCCTAAAACATGGAGGGGTAACATACATTTTTAGCTTGAATTAAGTGGCTACATGGTTGTATCCCTCTTGTTCTGTGTTGGGAACCTGGAACTCGCTTTTCTCGTCGGAAATCTTTACAATTGTTCCTAACTCAGAACATTTAATATCGTTGTTCTGCTCAAATTAAGTGCCTTGAGTAAAATAACATTATTTACTCGTTCAGGTACTTCACATTTTCCCTTAGTAATCCTTGTTCGAGTTTTCTAACCTTGAACAAGCACATACCGCCTAAATGAGGCAAAATTTATCGAAATGTCCCTGGTTGATCAAGGTTCTAGATCTAGAACAAGGGCAATTTGATTATCTTTTAAATAAAAATATTTTTAGTGAGGTACTTGAGTGATAGCAATTTTATAAGGACCCGATTTTTATGCGGCCAAGCCCGCATATGTAGAAAAACGGGCCTCTTAATAAATCTATTTTTTAGATGGATTTTAAGATTTAATTTTTAAGGACTTATAACCTCTAACATGGAGATCATGAATATGAAAAAATAAATAAATTTTAAAAATTTAAAACATTTGGACCATTAATTGTCATTGGTTTTAGATGAAACACCTACTTGCATCCATTTTTAATATGGATGCTTTACACTTTATGGTAAAAATGCGTTTAGCCCGCATGAAAAAAATTTCCAATCTTATAAAGTCATCACTTTAATGCTAAATTAGTTGATTTGACCGCCTTAATGATTTTTTAAATAATTTGACTATTTTAGTGTTATTATGAAAAATGGAGAAATTTTGAAAAAATCCCATATAAATTGCAGAATTTAGAAGAGGCTCCAAATAATTTATATTTTCATGTCCCCTTTTTTGGCATTTCTGAATTTTTCCAAAAATATACCCAGTTCAAAACTTTAAGTTATGAACCGAGGCTTTTTTTTTTTTTTTTGATTGAGAGATCAGTGTGGAATTTGAATTTATGAACCAACTCTTTCATATTCGGAAAAAATGAGTATAACATGTTGCCGAGGAGCAAGTTTTAAATTTAGTCTCTCGCTTGCCTATATAGAACAAGGTTTTAAAAATTGACAAACAGATCGAAACCTTCCAATAAAGACAAACAGGATCTAAACCTTCCAATCTGAATCGGAAACCGTATCGAATTCAGATTAAATATCGAGAACGAGCCAATTCCCCCGAATAAGTCGAGAATCAGCCCCCAGACGATTTGTCACATGACCGGTGATCCCGTTCATTTATGAGTTTTTCAAGGATCTCCTGGTACTTTAGGTTATGATTGAAAAGCCGGGATTATTATGTAGGTGAAAAAATGCCCAACGTACTATGAAATACGAAAGAGAGAGAGAGAGAGGGAGAGAGGGGCATTGGGTGATGTATATATAGTATACAAAAAACTTGATTGCGAGGTAAAAATAAAAGAGGACGTAGCGTTGAGATACATAGTATTATCCATTTTTGTCCTTGATGATTCTCCTGACAACCTCAATGAATGCCATTATTTGTTTTGGTAAGATATATTATTATCTTAAGGGTGCGGTTTCTATAAGGTTGCAATCTTAAACAATCCAATTAAGGTACACCTTAAAATTTTATCATAATATATAATTTTGTTGTAAAAACTTCTTAGTATCATCTTAAAATATATTTTCATACTTAATTAGAAAATTTTAAAATCCAAAAATAGTTAAAATCAAGTAGATCTATAAAGATATGAAAATCTTGAAAATTAACAGTCTAGATAATGTGTTGCAAGATGCACTATTTTTCGGGACTCAAAATTTTTTTTTTTTCATATTCATACATCTCGATGTCAAGATGATCGATTAGAGGTTTTTTTCAATATTAAAACAACATTTCCGATAGATTTTTGAGGTCCATCTGTGGTTCTACATTTTAAGGTTGCAACCTTATTAAAACTTTTCCCTTGTCTTAATACAACAAACACTCGTATAAAAGATAGGTGCTTAGTACTTATATACTTTCACAAAACTATAAAGAACCATAATGCAATACTATTATTTGTTGGAATTATGGCCTTTCAAGGCCTTGTCTTTTGCCGGCATAATTCTAGGTCACAATGGGAGTGACTATGAACGTTGAAGCCACCAGAATCTTTGTAGGCTAGGATCCAGATAAGCCCAAATAACCTTGATTACATGAGGCGACGTTCGTCGGCCATGTTATGAACGAAGACGTTTAAGTTCTCTAGTCAGGTTCGGTGTGTGAGCGTCGCATGTGATGTGAGCCACGGCTTGGGGATCAGTAAATCCCAGTTTATTTGAGATATTTTTCTGTGTGTGAGGGAAGCCTTATGTAAGTAATCTGGGCTCTTAGAGGACATAAGACCAAATCATTGATGTGTGTAGTTTGCTTACGGAGTGTGCACTAGACACTCACATTTTGAAAAGCTGTTATGATGAGGTACAATCCACCTATCAAAGCTGTGTACGTGCGTTAAGAGAGGACCCCCTGCATCTGCAAGAGTGCCTGTCCTCGAGTAACACCTATAATCCACTGAACACCCAGGGATCCAACCACCTATCGGTTAGCTTTGATAGGTCCAATCATATCCTGACTTAAGTATGTGACACATAGGGGCCTTTTGAGTTGATATGAGAAAGTGGTATGGGTTTTCGGATCTAACCACTTGAAGAATACTAATTTTGCAACAGTATTTATGTGCAGTGTCAGACTGTGATATTTTGATGGAAAATGGTTAAAACTATTTTATCATAGTTTTAGATAGTTTTTGAAAATTTTATTTTAAGGAAAAATGATTTATTGAATTTGTTATGTGGTAATTTCAAATTTAGGACAATCACATCTATGGTGTGTATCACACAAGTGGCCAATATGTACCACACCTGCAACCACTGGACTGCCACATCATGACCTTATGGGTAGTGCACATAATAATGATATGTGTAGTATTTGTAGCATATGTGTGTGGCACATGTGTGGTGGCATGTGTGTAGACACATGTAAATTGTAGAATTTTGAATTTCCAAATCTATTTAATCTAGGAATCATGTGATTGGTGGGTCCATATATTTTTATAAAATGAAAGCATGTGATGGGTAGTGAGAAGAAAAGAAGATACCTCATGGCATATGATGATTCTCTCTTGGAAAATGACACTTCATAAGAGATGAAGTGGAGTGCAAGTATGAATGAAAAGATGGAGAGAGAGGGTGGCACCCCCCTTACCTTATATGATCTTGTCTTTTGAATTTGAATTAGATGGTGGTGATTAAGAGATTTCAAATTCAATGGTTGTGATTTGCTTAAATTCAAAATTAGGGTTTGAAGGGTACTTGTGTAATTATGAAAAATTTAGAGGTGACTTATGGGCATGGTGATAAATGTATGTTTGATCGTCACAATTTATATGATAGCTACCAATAGTGATTGATAAGGCTAAGCCTTTAACCTCTCTCAACTCGAATCACTCATTGGTTGGCCAATATCTAATCTAGATTAACGGCCACACTTGGAATATCTATAAATAGGATCTATCCACCTCATTACTCTTTTCTTTCTTTTTTTCTCTCTCTCCTTTGTTCACTTGTGAGGCTCCCTTAGATGGGCAACGCCCCACTCCATCCTTCTCTTCATCCGTTCCATAAGCCTTAAAGATCTTTTTGAACTTGAGTGTACATAGTATTGACTTGATGGAGGGATAGCTCCAAGATAGGCCACACACCTACCCATGCACTTACTTTGTCACTTAAATATGAAGGAGTTGTTGTAAATAACGATAATACTAAGCTCACTTACCTTATCCTTTCTACTTTGAAGCTCATTGATTGTTGCATTTAAAAGGTCTCTATAGTATGCATCTAAAGGTGTAGTTTTGAGCAATGGCTCCTCCAAACTGTTATGGACTTTATATGTTGCTGGAAATTTGAGTACTTTCATCTATAATAGTGACATCTAGCTGGGATTTTGAACTTTATTTGCCCTCTTGATCCAATCTCCTGTTACGATGTCCCTTGCATTTGTGGTTGCTATGGGGTGTGTTTTGGTGTGGTTTTGGAACGTGTTTTAGAGATTTACTGAGGGCCTGTCCCTTACTGTAAATCTGATTGTCTCAGGCCATAATATTGAGTTGTGAATGTTATTTAGGGCTTATGTTGCACTCTCCCATGCCCCTTTATTGGTAGAAGGCCATAGCAGACCTTTGCGTTAAAAATACTTGTTTTCTATGCCACGTGATGTTCATTTGGCCCATATTTGATGTTTGACTACTTGTTAGTGTGGCATTTTGTTAGCGCTATCGGTTAGGAGTGATAACAAGGGTTGTCCAGAAACCGTTGTGTTAGTCGCGTTGTGATTGTTAATTAAAACGGCTTCCCATGACCATGTCAAACTCGTACGCATTTGGTTCTATTTGTCTTATATTTTTTTTAATATATTGTGAGATGAAAACTGTTGTAATAGACCCATCATTGTGAAATTCTTGTTGAAAATTATTTAGTGGAAGACAAGGGTAACCTTCTTATTTCTCAGTAATCATTGAGGTTCTCTAAAGTTTTTTTGGAAAGTGAACTGAAAATTTTTATTTTCTACGCCTTGTGTGGAGTCTTTAGTACCGCTTCATTATTTTTCTGAAAATGTAGAAGAAAAAAAACAAAAAGCTAGATTTATAAGAAATTTTAGTGATTTTTTGAAATTTATTAAAAGAGCCGATTCTCCAATCTGGATCATCGATTCGATCTAATTTTCCTTATGGATGATCCAGTCGTCAATCCATTTTTTTAAAATATTGATATAGAAAATTCAATTTTTTTCTTTTTCCAAATAATCATATGGTGGTTGAACCTGACCACAAGTAAAATGTATTCTCACAAGTGACCCAGTTCGGAACCAGTTCGCTTGTCTATTTTAGTGAGAGGCCGAACCGGTATGTTTACCACAAGTTACAAACTAGGGTACTTTTGGAAAAACTAAAAAATACAAAAATAGTACGAGCATAAAACATTAGAGATTTTTTAAAATTTCACATATTTATATGGAACATTTGCTAAAAATTCAATCCATTTCCTAGGTAATTTAAAAAGTTAGCTATCACATGCATAGTTGTCGGAGGATTGGACCAGCCACCAAACATATGATTCAGGAATTTAATTTCAACTTAAAAAATATATAAAAACAATGCACTTTCATGCAAATACCATATAAACAAATTCAATGAAAAAATATAAAGGAAAAGTAAAATTCAGGCCAATTCCAAAATTTTAAAAAAGGGATTGTCTACTAACCATTTATCTTGTGCATAGAGGTCACTGTTATTCTCACTCGTTAAATCTTGTGTCATTATCATTTTTACCCATTAGATGTTAGATGTATTTGGGTAAGCCATGAATTTCGAGATTTATTTTATTTTTTTTAAAACCTTTGCATCTAAAACTCTTGCGACCACCCATTTTGACCACCCATTTTGAAATATGAGGGACAATAATAACCGTGACAAAATACAAATGGTAATTTTGTGAACAATCCCTTAAAACATCTACATCTCAGCAAATTAAATCAAAGAGCAGCACGCAGAGGTTAATTACCTGCTATAATCCTCAAATCTTGGCCCCCATATCTCTGCAACTTGCTTCAAACCCTCCTCCCATTTCGCGATTGTTTCCAAACAGTAATCTTCACTCTTTCTATGCATCCGAAAAGCCTTCTTGAAAGGCCCTCTATTCACATCTCTCAAATCATCAGGCCCAACATTATAGTAAACAGGAATCAATACCCCCTTGCTCTCTCCGTTCTCTCTCTCATCAACCATCATTCTCACCTCGTCCAAGCACCATGGGGACTCTGCAAACCCTTTGCTCAGCAGAACCAACCATATCGACGAAGCCCTGATTGCTTCCACGATCACGACGCTTAAGTTCTCCCCCTTTCTAATCTCGTGAGAATCGACGAAGCTCAACACTCCCAATCCACTCAGATCGCCATGAATCTTCTGGGCGAGCTTCTTGAGCTCGGATCCCCTGTGGCTTATGAACGCATCATATTGAATCACCCTTCCTCGAACCTGGTCGGAAACAAGAACGTCCTCCATTCTCTCTGGTAAAGAATTGGCAACAAAGCCAGAATCTGAAACTGTAACCTAGGGTTGAAGAAGCATAAAGAAACGATTCAGGCTGAAGAAGTCGAGGAGATGAGAAATTCTTGCATTGAAGAGAAGATGGTCGGCATGGATTGGGGTTAGGGTTAAGTTGCATGGAAGCCATTTTTTAGTAAAAGGAAATGGAATTGAAAGAAACGCAATTTTAGGGTTTAAAAAAATAAGACGACATCGACTTGCAGAGCTTTCATTGCAGAAGGCCTAAGCTCACGAGTTAATCTAACGTCCCTCGCTTATCTAACGTCCATGTCTAAGATGATGTAAAGAAAATGTTATATCCACTAAAAGTTAAAATGAACACTAAAAAAAAGGAATTTAAGAATAATATTTATATTTTTTGAAAAAGACATTCTAAATTTAGATTAGAGAAAATGACCTGCTTGCTTATCTCATGTCCATCTGTAAGATGGTTGTCCAAAGAAAATGTTATACCTAGGGAAGAAAGGAATTCAAAAAATAATATATATATTCTTTGAAAAAGGCATTCCAAATCTAGATTAGGGAAAATGACCTACTTGTAGGAGTGGGAACGGGTTCAGACTGCCCGACCCGAAGTTATTGGACCCGGACGAGGGTCTGGACCCAACCTAA